GGTGGGGGGATGGGAGGTGGATGCGGCGCCAGAAACACCGGCGAGGCCCTGGGCTCAGGGGCAAGCTCCCGGGTGTCACCGAGGAGGCCTGGACTCACCCGCCAGCTGACCAGGCCAGCCGTGGAGTGACTCCCTCTGAGTCAGCGGAGAGGAGGCAGGGGACACCCTGCGGAGTGTGACGTGCTCTTTTCGCGCTGATTTGTTTACCCTGAGAGCAGTTCCTCCCAGAGCCAGAGGGCTAGGATCCTGGGCCCATGGGCTGGGAACATTGGATGCCTCTGCCTGCACAGGCAAGGAGTTTGGGTAGTTTCAGAATCAACAGGAGAACCAAGCACCTCCTAGGTAATGTGGCTTTTGCCTGGCCTGTGTGCAGTGGGAGCTACAGGACCACTAGGAGAGCCGGAAGTGCCAGGGACCAGAGTGTTCAGTGCCATTACCCGGGCCCCACCCCTTCTGCAGTTAGTCTGAGGCTTGTGCTTCAAGGAGACTGTGCCCTGGCTTAACTGCCTTTTAGGGTCCTTTATTCAGGGTTTGCTTGTGGGTGAATCCAACCTACAGTCCTTGCCCTGTGAGCTTTCTACTTAGTGTCCTCAAAGGAGCAAACTGTAACTCTAGGGTCCATAATTGTGAAGTTCGGACAACATTTGAGGTCACTTAGACTAAGGGTTTCTTTCAGATGCAGCCACCCGGGTAGGCTCAGGGTTGGGCACCCCGGAGCCTGTCCGAGCTGGATGGGAGGCGGGTTGCTGCACATTTTGGTTTAGGCTCACCACAAATCAAATCCACAAGGCCATACATGTTCACCTTGTAGTCCAGGCAGGAATTTCCAGGAGAGAATGGGAATTTAGCTCAGTGGTTCTGGCACCTGGTTCCATCCCTGGTACCAAAAAAAAAAAAAAAAAAAAAAAAAAAATTCCAGGAGAAACAGGGTTGTTTCTGTCTGAGGCCTTCACTGCAGTGTATATAAATACGATCATACTTGTAACAAATCTGCACATCCAATTCCATGGTGGTTTTAGTTTTAACTTTTAAAATGCATATTATTGTATATGTTTAAGGTATCCAGCGTAACGTTTTAAACTACCCATGTTGTCAGTACTGTATTCTTTAGCCATCTTCTTACTTTTTGTTTGTTTTTGTGTTTTTGGACATGGTCTCTCTGTGTAGTTCAGGCTGGTCTTGAACTCACTATGTAGCCCAGGGTGAACTCAGACTTAGTAGCTCTCCTGCCTCAGCTCTCTGGTGCTGGAACTGCAGACCCACACCACCCCTGGAAAATTGCAAGCAAGCTCGCATTATGTTTTTAGTTTAACTTTTACAAATTTCTATTTACTTGAGCTGAGGTCTTGCTATATGGCCCAGACTGGTCTCAAACGCCTGCTCTCAAGCGATCTTCTTGCCTTAAGCTCCTTCCCCGACATGGCTGAGATAACAGTCGGGCACTGGGGCGGAAACCCCAGGCCCAGGACCCGCTGGGCTACACCTCTGGCCCGACTGACTTTCAGGATATGAGTATTTGAAACTTGAGCTTCTTGGTCGGGAGTCTGAAATAGATAAAGTAAGCTCAGCTGGGAGCAGTGGGCCCGTGTGTGCCCGGTACCCTGGTCTTGCCATCCGAGCTCCCTTGCAGGACAAAGATCTCCTCAGGAGCAGACATCCCAGGGTCACCGCTGGAGGAGTCGCTTCTGTCCGGGACAGGTCCTGTCCTGCCTGCTGCGGGCAGGGCCTCAGGGCAAGCCTAGTCATTCCTCATCCTCCCTAGGGGCTGCGCATCGTAAAACGTTGGCTCGGATGCCAGGGGCTGAGGGGAGCTGTGTGAAGAGGTCTCACACATGCACGTGTACCCGCACCCCCCACACCGTGGGGCCACCCAGTGCCCCTCGGGGTTGGGCCTCAGCGGCCGGGTCAGTGCCCCAGCTGCGCTGACCTTGACCCCACCCCCAGGAGTACGAAGGGGAACGCAACGAGGCGGGCCAGCGGCACGGACGCGGCAGGGCCAGGCTGCCCAACGGGGACGTGTACGAAGGCAGCTATGAGTTCGGGCAGAGGAGCGGCCAGGTCAGCCGGCCCGGGGGAGGGTGGCTTCGCCGCGACGGTCGCTGTTAACGCATCTACCCTTCAGGCTCCGTCTCAGTGACATCATGCATGTATTGCAGGGGATCTACAAGTTCAAAAATGGTGCCCGGTACACTGGACAGTATCTTAAAAATAAAAAGCACGGTCAAGGCATTTTTATATATCCAGATGGATCCAGATATGAAGGTAAACACGTGTTTTTTAACGTGGCAGAGGTTTTTGTCTCTGAACTTGTCTGTGGATGTAGAAATATTCCAGAAAACTTAAGTTTCTCCGGATTAGTCAGTCGTTCAACAAACACACTGGGTGCCTGTGTTCACAGGGTTGACACAAAAGCCAGAAAGCCCTGTAGTTGACCGGTTAATTAACTAGAGTGGGAGACATGGCTGTCCCCGTGGCCAGCGCTTACCCTCCTGGGAGCCTGGTTCTGGCTCTGTCTCCCTCAGGCCGTCCTGGCCCTTCAGTGGACACACTTTCTCTGAACGAGTGGCTTCTTCATTTGCTCATCCGGCTTTCCTGTCTCTGTCCCAGTTCTGTCACGTGATGTGGAGTCCTGGAAAGGCTCCTTCAGCTCCTCCCCGAGGGCCACACCGCCCTCGAGAGGGCCTCACTGCCTGTGCTGGGATGACGGCAGTCTGTCCAGCGGGTGGGCAGCAGCTCTCTGTCCACAGAAACCTGTGTCCTGGGCTTCCTGTCCCCCGCTTGGGGAAACGATATCTTGTCCATCTGTGTCTGAGATCTGTGACCCAGCTTCACACTGTGGTGACATTTGTGACTTTACCTCCGCATGTCCCAGCTTCTGAGGATACAGCGGGTCAGTGCCTGGTCACTGGGGAGAGCTCAGCCAATGTCCACGCCACTCATGGGGACCACGAGTGAAGCACCGCTTTCCTTTGCTGCAGTCCTGTGGACAGCACCAGGGTCCCTGCACACACAGGCCCTCTGCCACTAAGCCGTGCTCTTTTTATTTCACTTTGAGACAGGCTTGCTAAGTTGCCCAGACCAGCCTCCAACTTGCAATCCTCCTGCCTCAGCCTCCTAAGTCACTGGGATCACAGGTGTGTGCCACCCACTTCTTAATGAGGGTGACACATTCTTTACCAGCAAGCTGCGCTCTGGGGTCCTCTTTCCATCCCTGTGACAAGTACCGTCCATGGTCAGCTTAAACGAGGGAAGGTTTACTTTGGCTCATGGCAACAGCGGTTTCTGTCCAAGGTGCAGGGACTCCTAGTAGTGGAGCCTCTCACTTCCGGGCAGCCAGGAAGCAAAGAGAGAGGAGGGGCGGGGTCCCCGCCCCCAGGGACAACGCTCCTCCCACAAAGGCCCCACCTCCTAACAACGGACCGCAGAGTCCGCAGGCTGGGGACTCTGATCTTGAGCCCGCAGGGGTCTGCGCTCCTGCTGCCCTAGTAGGAAGGCGTCTGCGTCCTTGCCTATCTCAGCGGGCCTGCCCCAGCCCAAGGACCATGGCTTGGAACATGGACTGTGAACAGAACAGTAGTGTAGGCCTGCGGGAAATCCTGTCCCAGTTCTCTGAGCCTCGTCACACTGTGGTCGCTTCCAGTTGTAGTGTAGATGTTGACAGATTTGAATAAAATATACAATTTTTAAAAAGATACCCAGAAAGTTAACTTCTGACTTACAGGAGCTGTGGCACCATGGGTGGGGTTCATGACAACGTGTCTTTTACTGCAATAAAATTCTAAACATTGAAACACTGTAAACTTTGATGCCCCCTAGCACTGCCGCCTGTGCCCAGGGGACCCCGCTCTGTCTGGCCTCTCAGCCTCCAGGGGGGACACGGGATGGAGGGAGGTCACGCAGGTGACGGTTGCCCTGCCACGGCAGTTCCAACTCTGACCCGCACACTTCCCAAGCACACTACTGGGGCCCACAACGCCAGCCCCTGCTTCTCTTCTCACCCCAGCTGGCTTTTGTCGTCCCTTCAGGGGAGTGGGCGGAAGACCAGAGGCACGGCCACGGCGTGTACTACTACGTGAACAACGACACCTACACCGGGGAGTGGTTCGCTCACCAGAGGTTTGGCCTCCCCACCAGCACAGCTGTTTATGGAATTGAAGTGGTGGCGGCCTCGGTTGGTTTGCAGCTGCTGGATAGCAAGACCTTGACGTCCCAGGCCCATTCGGGTCTCCCCCAGGCGCTTCCCAGCCAGCCGGAGGTGCAGCCTGCTGAGGCGGCTCCTTAGTGGGGACAGGGCACCCACCCACGTAGGGGACCAAGCCCCAGCTCCCAGCTCTGCCTGAGCCCGGCACACGGCTGGCCTCTGTACCCCTGCTGTGTCACAGAAGGCGTCCTTTGATGGGACACAGAAGCCAACTTATGTGGAGCTGGCTCCACCCCACTGTCCGGTAGAAACCTGAAGGACTTCGAGGGTGCCGAGCCAAAGCAAGCTGTGCCCTCGTCTTTGCAGGCACGGGCAAGGCACCTACTTCTATGCAGAGACGGGCAGCAAGTATGTGGGCAGCTGGGTGCACGGCCAGCAGGTGGGCGCGGCCGAGCTCATCCACCTGAACCACAGGTACCAGGGCAAGTTCCTGAACAAAAACGTAAGTTGGGACCGGGGTCAGATCTCTACTCTAGCTTTGTTTACCCCTCGAAGGGAGGTGGTGGAGCCCTGGGGAGGAAGACCCCAAGCTCCGGCCTCTGCCTCTGGCCAGCCTGCCACTTGTGGTCAGGGAGGGACTGAGCACTGGCCCGGTGCTGGCCCAGGTCTGTGGACTTGGCTCCCAGAGGACTCTGGCTTTGCTTGCTTTTCTTGTTCCAAGGGCTCATGGGATGCAGAGGAACCCTGGGTAATCCAGACCCTACCCCGTGGGCACTTTCGGTGGCTTTGACTGGGGTGCAAGCGGAAACTGTCCCCGTGGAGAGTCTTGCTGAGCCAATGATGGGTGATACTACAGGCTGCCACGGGGAACACTGAACTCTTAACGAAGACTCTCTGAGTTTCATTTGCATTGGTGCACGCCTTACCCATGAATTTGGCACACTCTCAGTGAGCTAGACTAGGCTGATCTGAAAGAGTAAGAGTGAAATGGAAGGTTTGTTCTGCTAGCTGTAAGAAACTCACGTCCTACGGATAATGCACCAGGACTTTCTAACGGTAAAGCATCTCAGTACTAGGATGGCCCCGCCTACCCTCTTGCCCCGCCCCGCCCACTTCCTCGTCCCGAGTGTGTTCTCCGATTTCTGTTCGCTCTCTCTGTCTCTGTCTGCCTGTCTGTCTGTCTCTCACACACACAGCTTATACAGAAGCAGTTTTGAGATTTGACTCACACAAATAAGGTCATGCTGTACGGGGACACAGAGTTGTGCCGTCTCTGCTTTTCCGGGGGGTGTTGAAGGGAATGTAAGCAGGACACTGGTTGGGACTGAGCTCCTGTGCTAGGCCCCGCAGGCCAGAGTGAACAGAGCCACTCACACCCAAGTTCTGTGACCCCATGCACAGCGAGGCTGCCGGCCTGACTCCAAGCAGCCAGGAGAGGGGGTGGCCTGGCCCCAGACAGTGTTGTGCCGGCAGGTGCGGTGATGGAGTCCTCACTGCTGTGGCCCTGTAAGAAGTGGCTTTGAAATGACCAATCTGAATGTCATTCTCTGCTTCTTTATCAGCCCTTCTGTCTGTAAATCAGCCTGTGCTCGCTCATTGGAACACATGTTCTATTTGGAGAGTTGGTGCCCAGATCTAGAATCACAAATAAAAGCCAATGAGATGTTAGAGCTAATGTGATTGTAGTTTTGTCTCTTGATAGTAATGTTTGTGCGGGATGATTTATGTAGTATGTATGTAGGTAATGAATTTGCAGAATGTACAAGTACTGAGATTTTTTTTTGGTTCCCGATACCAGGAATCAAACTCAGGACCTTGCACTTGCCAGGCAAGTGCAGCAGCACTGAGCTACACCCCTGGCCCATAAGTACTGAGATTTTAAACTGACTCATAATGCCGGTTATCTAAGCAGCTCTGTCCATTCATGTTCTCAACAATAGAGTATGAGTCCTTCTATCACGTGTTCTCCCCAACCTTGGGTCTTATCAGTCTTTAGTTTTATTTTTTTGCTTTTAAAAAAAATATAAAACTGTTGTCCCACTGTTTGAAAGCACATTTCCCTGGTTACTAGTGAGGCCAAACATTTCCCACACTCTCTCAGGAAATCCCCGGCTCATGTCCATGGGGCAAGTTATCGGGTGGTGTGATCTGAGGTAGGGGCACAGAAATGAGTGAAACAGATCAGAAAGCAGATAAAACTACGGGACGCTTGGTGAAGGCACCATTTCAAATGAATGGGGCCAGTGATGTAGCTCAGTGGTGCCGCTGCCTGCCTCGCCAGGGCAAGGTTTTGAGTTCAATCCCTGGTACCAAAAAAAACAACAAACAAACAAACAAAACACCCTGTTCAAATGAATGAACATGTAGGGGGTAGGGTCTGGCACTGATCGGGGACAACTGGATCACCATTTGGGAGAATTCATCCCTCAGCTTATAGATGAAGGCACTTTCTAAAATGAAATTTAAATGGAATCGAGATAATCACATATGGAAGAAATAAGTGAATATTTTTTACCTTTGAAATTAGGAAAGAGGACTTTTTACACAGACTCATAAAGGAAAAGCCAGTAGATCTAGTTTCACAAAGATAATCCCTTCTTAGAGCCAGGTGTGGTGGCGCACACCTGTAATGCCAGCACACTTGGAGGCTGAGACAGAAGGGTCAGAAGTTCGAGCCCAGCCTGAGGAATCTAGCGACTTACCGAGACCCTGTCTCAGAAATAAAAAAGGCTGAAGACCATAGTGCAGTGTGAAATGGGATTGAACCTGGTTTGAATCCTTGGTAACACGCACACACACACCCACACGTGACCCTTATAGATTAGGAAACACTGAAGAAAATGTAAGAGGCACAAGAGAAGTGGCTAGGATATTTGCAACATTTAGTGTGTGAAGGATCTGTAGCCATCAGTGTGGTTTAAATAATCCCCATAAATATGTACAATAATAACATGTTCATCAAAGACTTATACAAAAGTTTAAGGAAGTGTCAAGTGCTCTGTTTTATTACACGGTGCATACGTGTATGCAATTACTATGCAGTAACTCGTACGTTGGTATAATTAGAATTGAATTTTAAAAGTGTTTTAAAATCTTGAAAATATCTAGCCTTCACAATAACTTGAATGGAGCAACTAAAAATGCTGAGGTTCCTGCTTTTTATATAAAGACCCTGTAAGGAGACAATGCTCAAGCCCAGAAAAATGAGAGTCTGGAGCCTCTGCAGTATTTGGGGAAAAGGTCATCAAGACCTCACTCTGGATAGAATATTTATAATTTGTTCTGGGATTCCCTGGAAAACTACCCTAAAGATTTAATTCAGAATGTGTTGGCTAAGGAGTCCCTTGTCAAATTAAAAAAGGGGAGGCGTAGCAATGTCAAAAACATTATATTCCACAGATGAAATTAAAACCAGGCTGACAACTGGCTGGGCAGAACAACATTTGTAGCCATCCGGAGCGATCCATAGTCTATTTATGAGTAAAAATAGTTGCTGTGTAATTATGGTCAGATTTTTATTCAAACTAAACCAAACCACCCAACCAAACAAAAACCCTACCTGCTTGAAAGAAAGTAGTGGAACATATCAAGATATTGGTAGCAGTTGGGTCTGGCCGGTTTGCCAGTGGGTGCGGACCTGTTCAGATTTTTATGATGACGAACATCAGTAGCAGAAGGCACTGAACATAACGACACGGATGTAGGCTCTGCGGTCTCATTAGCTGCCCACCCGTAAAGCGGCATCCTTTAATCCGGGCCCCACCTCCCCCGGTGCCGCGGCTGGGGTGGGCGGTAGTCCGGAAGCGATGTTTGCTGTTTCCCTGAGGTGGACCCGAAACCTGTCATCTTCTCTTTGCCCGTAGCCCGTTGGCCCTGGAAAGTACATATTTGACGTTGGATGTGAGCAGCATGGCGAGTACCGCCTCACAGACGTGGTGAGTTGAAGGGAGGACACGGTTTGGTGCGTTCGAGGACAGAAAGGCTTCACCACCCCGTCCAGATTTGCCTGAGAGGTTAACTTCACATTTTCATTTCCCTTTTATATTTTATACACCTGTGTGAAACTAAACTGTCAGAAGTAACCGCTCTCACAGACGGTCATTGCCAAAGTCTAGGCCTAGTTTCTGCCCATAAGAACTGCTCGTCCCCAGTTAGGGATTCCAGGCAGCGGCAGGTCCAGAAATGGCCACAAAACTCTGTAAAGCTCTGACTCGGGAGGCGACTGTGTGTCAGGGTGGACGTGCTCCTCCGGGAGCCTGGATAATACGTAATTTTCTCTTTTCTCCTTTCCATTATTTAGCAGTACTATTAATACCAAATTCCTATTAAAAACTGCCAGCTAATGTCCCTGCCACAGGGCACCCACATAAAGATGGGGTGAGTGCCGGGTGGGGGTCTGGCTTTACTAGCGTCTGACCTGTACCTGCAGATAACTAGCGACTTAGGCAGATGGCTGGATATTATACTAGTTTTGAACCGTTGACTTATTTGTTAACTGATGTCATTTTTACCATAAGAAGTTTGCAATTTTAGAGTTAACCCTGGGGCCGGGGATTTAGCTCTGTGGCTCTGCTGCCTGCCTCGAAAGCACAAGGTCCCAAGTTCAATTCCCAGCACCAAACAAACAAACACCCAAACAAATAAAGAGTAACCCTGACTTGGCAAAAAAAAGCGTCAAGTTGTGCTTTTATTTTTTTGCTCTCTGAAGCCTTCTCAGTACTCCTTTCCTGTGAGCTGAGACGTAAATATTGTAAGCAGACTGTCCTGAATCTGCATAGTTTCTTTTCTGAAACAGAGGATAGTACATATATGCCTCTGCCATAAAGTTTAATTTTTAAAATAGGCACAGGAAGTGATTAATAGCAATAATAACACAATTAGGACTACGCTGTCATCGAAGTTACGTGAATGTGTTTTTTCTCCAACTCACTCTGCCTGAATTGTACTGTACTGCCGATTTTAATAACTCAGTGTATGGTTTTTCCTCAAGTCCAGAATTTTCACTTAGAGGAAATATTCCACGGTGCCTCTCTGGGGAAGGGCTTTACCAGCCTCATCGCCGTGGCCAAGGGGAGGGAGCGTCCCTGGGATGTGGCCCTGGGATCTGAGCACTGAGGGACTGAGGGACCCAGAGCGGAGCAGAGTGGACGGAGCAGTCTGACACTTAGCGACTGTGTATTTCTGGAGCTTCTACCTCCTATTTTAGACCGCAGCTGACCCGGAGAGTGTGGCCATGCGGAGGGGGCTGCCGGCCTTCTCCGCCTTGGCTGGGACCTTGGCTCCCGTGCCTGTGGCTCCCGATCCTCTTGTCAGCCCCCTCGAGTCACCGGGGCGGCTTCAGACCCACTTGTCCTCAGCCCGCGGGTCCCCTGAGGCTTGGGCCCTGCAGGCTCCACCCAGCCCTGCTTGCTGGCCTCCTCCATGCCTCCTGCTGGCTGGCTTGACTCTCGGCTGACTCCACCCAGCTTTGCTATTCTGGGTGCCCGGCTTCCAAACCTGGCTTTCCCGTTTCTTCCTTGGCGCCCTCGGATTTTAACATTGAAGGGATCCGCCGGTCCTTACCCCTTCAACCCCCAGCCGTGCTCAGACCCCCTCCCCTGGCCAAGAGCCCAGGGTCGGTGTCCCTCACAGCTCCTCCCTCCTGCGATGTCCCTTCCTGCACACCGGGCTCTCCATATCCCCAGAACAGCCCTCAGCCACCAGTCGTCCGTAGAGCAGACGGCCGCCTTCTTCTGTGACCAGCATCTTCTGTGATCTCAGCCCATCTGTCCCCTTAGCCTTGTTCCCTGCTTCTTCCTTTGGAGCCCTTTTGCAGCTAAAAGTAGCCACTGGCTGGGCTGCACCCCGAGCTAACCAGAAAATGGCCTTGAGCTGTGCATGGCAGTGCACGCCTGTAATCCCTGCACCCAGGGCCTGAGGCAGGAGGATCGCCGCAACTTTGGGGCTGGGCCACATAGTAAGGTCAAGCACAGACTGAGCTGCATAGCTAGTAGATCTCTGAAACAAAAATAGACCCCATCTCCAAAGAAGGTCATATTAGAAGGCAGTGGGGTTAGGACTCCCAAGCACCTATTTTAGGGGTGGCTGGTGGGAGCCAGCAGTGTTGAGGAAATGATTCCAAGTCCCCGAGGTGCACACACGAGGCTTTGGGGTCCCCACTGGTGAGGGAGCAGGGAAGACAAGATGGGCAGAGGCAGCAGTTGCCCGCGGTGTAGCCCTGGGGGCCTCAGTGTTAAGGAGCGAGGACGGGGAGGTAGGGGTGCGATGCCCGCAGACTGGGCCAGACCTGGGGCTCTGTAGCTCTGGGGAAGGGACATGGCCTGGAGTCGGCAGCTGCCAGCCATGCGTGGCCTCAGCTCAGGTCACAGTGCCCAGAGGACATCACCCCAGAGCTGCTGACTCAGAAACCCCGAGTCGGGGAGGGCACGGGGTGCTGTGTCACCTCCCTGGGGACAAAGTCGGACATTTGGGGGCCAAACGGAGCCCCGAGGCTGGAGGTCCTGGCAGAGATGTCACCCGTTCCACGGATCCCGTCACCTACGACTGTGAGGCTGGTGAAGTGGGGTCATGCTGGCTGCCTGCCCACCACGGTGGGAATGGCACATTCCTGAGACAGTGAACCTCCGTTCCTCTCTTCTGGGGTCCCACGTCCATGGCCTCTGTGTCATTACTCGGACATCTTCAGCTTAGCCCTTTCCGGGAAATGAGGTGATTTTGTGGTTCGGAGCTGGGAAATGTGGCCCAGTAGCTGAGGAGTGCAGGGCCCATGGCCCCCTCCCTCCCACAGCAGTGTGTGTCAGAAGGGTGGGCACAGCCCTGCTTTCTGGGCCTCCGCTCCCAGCTAGGTCTTTGGAGAGGATGCCGAGGGTGAGCAGTGTCACAAAAGGCTCCACACCCAGTCCGGCCTCTTTCCTTTGCTTCCAGTATTCCAGACCCAGGCTGCGCAAATGTTAGCGAATTTTATTTTCTGCCCTGGAAATAGGAGAGAGTAGAAGAGGAGGAGGAGGAGGCCCCAGTCAACGTGGTCCCTAAATGGAAAGTGACCCAGATCACAGAGCTGACTCTGTGGACCCCAAACCTCCCTGAGGAGAAGCCCCCCTTGGAGGGACCTGGCCCGGAGGAGGCGCTTGGAGAGGAGGGTAGGGTCATCCTCCGGTCTCTGGGGAGGATCTCTGGGATGTGCCCGGGGCGGCAGAGAGTCCAGCCTGAAGCTGGTCTGGAGACCTGGGCAAGCTGGACGTGCCCGGCATGGACGGCTCGGGCTGGCCTCTTCTTGTCTGCCAGACCCCTCCCTCCATCCCAGAGGCTGGTGTTGTGGCCCAGAAGGGTGAAGCAGGGGTCCTTGGGCCATGTTCCTTCCACTGAAAGTGGTCAGAAGCCCCAGCAATCGGCTGGGGGAGCGACCTTCATTCTCCTGCCAGCTGGGTGATGTCCGTGCCCGGCCAGCTCCGGACTGTCCATGTGGTCCCTACTGCCCCCACTTGTCCCCTGCACAGCCTCCCTGCCGTGTCATCTTCCCAGTGGTCAGCAGTGGCCACCAGCCAGCCCCTGTAATGGGGAGGGGTGCTCTGAGGCTGGGGTCCTTGATCTCAGGAGGAGGGGGCTTGCTGGGCAGGCTAGGGGAGGGCAGTGGACCCAGGCCATTCGGCCTCTACCTGCTGCCTCTGTCCCTCCACTGCCAGGCGCCACGGAGCTTGAGGAGGAAGCCCAGGTTCTGCCTGATGCTTTTGAGGGTGAGCTGGACCTGCAAGGAGGAGAGGACGATGCGGACGCCTGGGAGTACAGTTACGACGTGGACCAGGGTGAGGACGGTGGTGGCCAGTCCGAGGGCAGGTGTGGGCCCCGCAGGCCCGGGGACCAGGCTCCCCTTCCTTCCTCAAGGCCATGCGAGTGGCCTCCTTCTGGTTCTCCTCAGCAAACGCCGGCTTTGAGGAAGAGGAGGAAAGACAGGCCGAGCTGCAGGACTGAGGGCCGCTCGGGAGAGCGAGGCTGCACCCAAAGCCGGGGCCGGCAGTCCCGGATCCTTCTCGCAGTGTTAGGTTGGTTGATGGCTGCAAATAAATCCCCCATCTCTCCTCGTTTCTGGAGCAACTGCTGCTGTGTGTTCTTTGTATTTTTAAAACATTTTTCTATTTTTAGAAATTTCTCTTAGTGCACGGTCGTGATTACTAACAATTAATTCATTATTGGGGTAACGCAGCTTCCCCCGAATCTCTTGGTTCTCTTCCCGTTTGCAAAAGCTCTCACTCCCTCTCTCCTATTATCTGCCTTTTATTATGTCTTTATTTGTACTTCAAGTTTCTCATGTACGAGAAACCATCTGATAGTTCACCTTCTCTGTCTGATTTACTCCCCTTAACATTGTGGTCTCGGGGGCGTCCATTTCCCCACTGATGACTCAAGTCACCCTTCTGTATGGCAGAGCAGTGCTCCATCAGGTAGAAATCCTTCAGTACTTCTCTCCCACATGGTGGTGACTTTGCAGAGTTCACTGTAGGGACGTTAGATAATCGTCACGTCTTCCCTGTGGCTTTTATCAGTTACTGATAATTGGGAGGCCTGGCACAGTGCCACACGCAGGCACACCACTGTCCACAGAACTGCACTACTAACTGGTGCGGGGGGCAACCCTGAAAAATCTCCCCAAATTTGCTCTTTTTTTCTTTCCATACAGGGACTGTTGTAATTGTCAGTGGGTTACTTCCCTGGCTTTGCGATGGGGTTGATTTCTTCGTGTGTGAACTGATGGTTCTCATAACACCCAACCTAAAGTAACCGAGAGCAAAGGGAAATAAAATGTCATTGAGTGTGATTTGGAGGGAGGCGATGGCCTGCACCTCGGAGGGTGTGTGCCGATCTGCAGGGTTCGTGTGGGTGTGCACAGTGTATAGGCACACGCGCTCTCCTAACGGTGTGTGGCATTGGAACAGCACATACACCTGACAAAGGAGATTAGCCAAATTGAGATTTGGAAAAGTCAAATAATCTTGTCTTTAAAAAGCATGTTCGGGTGGGGATGTGGCTCAGTGGCACAGCGCCTGCCCGGCAAGTCCAAGGTCCTCAGTTCGATCCCCAGGACCAAAAAATTTTAAATTAAAAAAGTCAAGGCATTTTCAAAGCCACCCAACTGTGTCTAACATCAGCTGTTGCACTCTGGTGTTGCCCATGCCAGGCTCTCACGGCGTTTTGAACTATGGAGGTTCAGTGTATTTGTGCTCACATAGAGCTGGAAAAAGATTTCAATGACCAGAGTGGTGGAAGAAAGAATAAAGCACCCCTAAGGTAACAGGAGCCACAGACCGGCTTCAGGTGGCCCTGAGCTGCCCCGGGGCGTCCCTGGAAGGGCTCCCGAAGTCACACTGCTGTCTGGGGCTGGCCGGTCTCTGGACTGGGGCCTTCCACAGGGCGAGAGGAGGGAGCTCCAGGAGGCCGAAGCCTGAGCTGGTGCCCTGTCCCTTTTTTCAGTGTAAACCTGTGCAGGGCGCAGTGACACAGTGATTCTGGGCAGGACGAGGCTGCACCTCCGGCCTTTCCTGGAGCGTGGCTGGTTTGGCCACGGAGCGCCTGGCGCTCAAAGGCATCTAGCCCAACAGTGTCACTAAGAGTTTTTCATACTGTTACGTGTTGAGGTGACATTTTGACTATATCCAGCTAAACAGAAATACTTTGCTAAAGTTAACTTTACCGGCCTCTTTCTCCTGTTCTAACGGGGCTGTGGAAGGGCAGGACCCCTGCACTCTGGCCATGCCCTGTTGGGACCCCAGCCGGAGCCCGGTCTCCGCAGCTGCCTGGCATCCAGGTGGGAAGGAGGCCACCCTGCCCCGCCGGGACTCCCCCAGAAGAGATCCCAGCTTTGGGGGCCTGTGACACTCGGGGTGTGGCTTCCTCCAGGGTGTCTGTGCTCAGGCGTGGGGTCCCCCGCTGGGCCCGTGAGGGGAGCAGGAGGGGCCTTGTCGGTGGCCGAGGTTGGGGGACACATTTTTCTTCCCTCCCCTCCTACATGGACCACAGGAAGTGGTCCCGGAGCACATGTGTCACATAAACACAGGATTCCAGGCGATGAGAGGGTGTGCAGGGTGACATGCACAGTCCGGGGGACACGGGACACGCAGAGGGGGGCTCTGGGAGGAAGACCAGCTGCTGCAGGAGCCCCGGTCTCCTTTTCTGTCATGCTGACACCCTCTGCCAGAGACCAGGGCTGCGGAGCATTCGGGGAGATGGCGCATCCCTGCCACCAGGGGGCACTGTGGCCATGGCGTGGCCGCCCCTGCGTGTGTGCTATATAATTGTACACTTACATGCTAGGGACTGCCATGGGCATTGACAGAAATGTGGCTCCAAAGACGTCACTCCAGCCTCACCCCCACCCCACCTTGTCCCTCAAAGTGAGGACCACACAGGGAAGAATGCCATTGAGGGTTTGCTGAATGAATGCACGGGTACATTCTATGAAGGAATGTGTGGGTTTTTCCTGACTACAGGGCTGCGGTTTCCCAGAAGCCCCAAGCTTCAAGGCCCTTGAGGTATTGTTAGGAGAGCCTGAGGCAGCTGGAAATTCCTATGCTCCACCTGCTTGGAAGGGCACTGCAGAGTCACCAAGTCATCCCATCTCAGTGCAGCCCTGGGAGGCAGGAGCAGTCCTTACAGGTGGGGAAACTGAGGCACGCAGGGCGAAGGTCCTTGCCAGGTTCCTGTGCCCACAGCAGACATTGCTAATCAATCCTGCATTCTCCGTTGTTGAACTCTGACCTGCAGCCACTGCCAAGTGCTCAGCACCAGAGCATCAGGAGAAGCATGTGGCCGAGAGTAATTTTGTCCACACAGGAAGGGTATGGCTGGGTCTCACGGTGGTCAGCCCTCCAGCCTCTCGGAGAGCCATGCTCCCTGCTCTGTGATGGTGTCGAGGCCATGCGTGGGCTGTGGGGACACCGTGGGGAGCCCCGTCCACTGCTGGACCAGCTTCCTCCAAGCCAGAGCCACGGCTGGGGTCAAAGCTCACCCGCTTCCCTCCTCTGCTCCTGTTTGCAGCCTCCCTGCCCCCCACAGAGGAGGTGTGACTCTGACACTCAGCTCTGGGGGAGCAGAGACAGGGAGGGCTGTGGTGGGCCGGGCCCCAGGGGACCCAGGCCCTAGGACCGCACTGGGAACTCCATGACCAAAGGGCCTTCCTCCCCGCCTCCTTCCGATTGAACCTAAGGCTTTCACACCGAGCTACACCCTCAGCCCTTTTTAAAAAGATGCTTCGTTTTTTTGAGACAAGGTCTAAGCCACTAAGTTGCCCATGTGGGGCTCACACTTGTGACCCCCCTGCCTCAGCCTCCCAGAGTGCTGGGATGACAGGCGCATGCACCACCATGAAAGGGATTTTCACACGGTGTTAGGGATCTAGAGGGGCGTGAGGATGCTGGGCCCCCAGGTGGCATGAGGGTCCTTGGGAGAGGAAGGCTGGAGGTGACGTGGGGGCACAGCAGAAGTAGAGAAACAGGGCGGAGGACGCTGCTGGCCCCGATGGTGGAAGTGCTGCGAGTCAGGGATTGCAGGCGCCTCCCGACCCTGGGAGCAGCCAGGAAAGGGCTCTGCCCAGGGCCTGGGGGCCACCACCTGCTCCGCTCTAGGCTCCATGAGTGGTCGTGGGAGGCAAAGGTGCTGCCGGCTGCCGGTTCCCTGAGTGAGTGGCGAGTCGGCACCGCTGCAAAAGAGCGGATGGGAGCAGGGATGCCGCGGCTCTGGGTTCCGATCCCTTTATTGTCGATTGCACCTCTCGTCACGGTGTTGATGAAAATAGGAAAGGGACAGACAGCTGGGACCAGCCTGGGAAGTCAGCACCCAGAGCTGGACAGATGCTTCGTGTGTGAGTGTGAGCGTGTGTGAGTGTGAGTGTACACCGGGCGTCGGCTCCTGGAAGCCAGGCTTGGGTCCTATCTCCCCGCAGGCTGCGGCTGGCCCCTCGTCACAGGTCTCAGGACACTGCAGCTGGACGCACAGCCGAGCCACACATGGCAGCGGAGCCGAGGCAGGCGCAGGTGTCCCGCCATCAGTGTGCTTTGTGCTCCTGCGAGTTGCATGGGCAAGGCGGGGATGGCCCACGAGGCGCTCCTCACTGGATGCCGTGGCTCAGCTGCCTGGGATCCAGTTCCTCCAGTTGAACGCCGCGTTGGCCCCGTGCGTGAGAGTCCTCACGGGTGGGCTGGCCAGCTCCCACTTCCCTTCCTCTGTGTTTTCTTCACAGAAGCACATGCCCAGGGCAGGGATCTAGAACAGAGTGCGAAGCCCTTTACCAGTGTCTCACAAGTCACTTGAGATGGCTCGGTTTGGGACTAGTTAGCTGTAAAGCCACTGGCAGGCCTTCCTGGCCCTTGCAGGTGCATGACCCTCCCAGGCTACTGTAAGCCTTGGAATCAAGGCCAGAGTCCCACCGTCCCCCCACCAGCCATGGGCCATGGGACACCGGGGAACACTGGCCCACTGATGGCTCCCTGTGATACATGAGAACCCTGGGCAAGCCCGGTGACCGCCCCAGGGGAGGCGGGGCGAGCTGAGCTTCCCGCCCCCAATTCCTGGTCGGCTGGTTGTCCAACACGGTTCTCCAAGGGCTGGTCCCAGTCTGCCCCACTGTCACTGCCTGTCACTGGACGTTTACACCCACAGGGCTCAGCACCCAGGCCACAGGCTGGATGTGACTCAGCAGGCTGCACTCCCTTCTGCCCAGGCGTGTCCCTGCCTGTCCCCAGAGGGAGAGCCAAACCCTTCCCTCCTCACCCACGTTGCTCTCTCCTGACCGGACGTTTATTTTGCCACTTGGGTGGCAAGGAATCAAAACAGGAGCTGAGTTTTAAAACATCCATTCCCTTGTGCGTTTCAGTGTTGGGGACAGAGGGCCCAGGGTGCCGTGGCAGGGATGAGGGCGACAGGCCTGTCCGCCGGCCCTGCCAGGGCTGCTCTCTGCACAGGGGCAGAGGTGCACACCCTCCGAGGCCCAGGCCTTGCTGGCCTGGGTGGCCGGACATCAGCGTGCCCTCTAGGAGGGACGTGGCAGCCTTGTGCCTCTGTGGCAGTTGCCTGAGGGCCCCAGAGATGGGAGGACCAACACACCTTTCTCACCAGCTGGGCGAAGGCTCCGCAGTCCCGGGGTGGGAGTCCGAGGAGTGGCCGGGTGCAGGAGTCCAGGGCAGAGCTGTGGCTCACGATGAGGATGGTGCCCGCTGTGGACAAAACACCCCGGGTCACTGCAGCCACAGAGAGTGCCCGGAGCCCAGGGCCTTTGCAATGAGCTGCAGCTCAGCCCTTTTTATCTTTTATCTTGAGACAGAGTCTAGCTAAAGTCACCAAGCCCTTGCCTTCCTGGCGCAGCCTCCCAGAGTGCTGGGATTACAAGCTGGAGCACCCCTTTTATCAGTCTCTTAAATTGTGGGAGTGGAGCTGCCATGCAGAGGCCCATGGCAGGAGGCAGGTGTGATCAGTGATAGCGTTTTCCTCACCCTGGCTTCTGTGCATTAATTTTCAGAGGCACCCCCTCCCCATGAAGTGTAGGGGGGCAGCCTCAGCTCGGGATGGAGTAAGGGGGTGACCTGAGCCCCTCTGTGCGCCACCACTTGGGTGCAGTGGGCCAGAGATGGGGTGCAGGGGGACTGTTACCCAGGCCCCAGAACTGCACCCCCAGCTCTGTGCCCTCAGGCACAGGACCCTCAGTTGGCCAGGGATTGGGACAGGGGATGTTGGGCCGACTCCCACCCGGGGTGACCCCAACCCCAAGGCCGCTGCACCCGAGGACGTGGGGGCTTACGTTCTGGGGGGCAGGCACCCAGGACCCGCTCCATACTTCGTGCACAGCGGTCCACGTACTGCGCGTAGCTCTCGGCTGGCAGGAGGGAGCAGAGGGGGAATGCAGGCCTGAGGAGAGGAGGGGCGGCTGTGCCCTGGCTCCCTGGACAGGGACTGGGGTCTGGGCTGGGCAGCCGGGAAGGAGAAGCTTCTCCCCACGGCCCTGCTCTGCCCCAGCCTGGGGCCGTATCCAGTCCAGCGGGGCTGAGCAGAGGACCCAGATGCACTCCTGGGTCACCAGGCGAGGCTCCTCCAAAGTGTGGGGTCTGTGCTGCCCTCGTAGGTCAGTTTTAGCAAAAGCCCCACCCCAGGTGACACCCCCAGGATTCTGGCAGGTAGGCTTAGCACAGTCCCCACCCTCCGGGTTTCCCAGCCCCACCCTCTCTGTCCCGACTCCGCCACTCTTCTGAAAGCAACACACTTGTTCTTGAAGAGGAAAGAGACCCCCCACCCCACCCCACCCCGTGGTGGAGCCCCGAGGGCGTTACCTGTAGTCAGGGTCCACACTGAAGCCAGCCTCTCTCAGTTCTGCCAAGGCCATGAAGCTCGGGCTGGCTTTGCTGGCCTCCCATTTGGTCCACTCAAAGATCCCTGGCTCTATTCTTATCTTCACTGTCTTCTCTAGTTTGAGCTCTGGATTGGAGCGAACACAAGTGTTTATTGTGGTCACGTAAATGTGTCTCTTCCCAGCTAGATCTGACCCATGTACGGATTTAAATAACCTTTCAAAAACAGCGAATACGGTTGGGGCAGGAAACACAGCCCTGCCATTTCTGAGCCCAGCAGGGCCACGAGAGGCAGGATGCTCTGTCTGCCCCGACCAGACATCTCCCGGTGCCTGGGCCAGGACTTGGCGAGCCCCGGAGGAGGGAGGGCGCCATCGTCCGCGACAGCCCCTAACATTTGGTATGCTGACTGCAGGACCTATTGGAAAGAGCATCTTTTTATGAGCTAAAAAAAAAAAAAGCCTTCACATTTTTATTTGAAATGGAGAAAATGTCATTAAATGCAATGGTTGGAAATAAAATGAGTCCCATGAATGTGTCCTGAGTCCTTGGAACGGCTTCCTGCCCGGAGCACATCTCGGCAGGTCTGAGGAGCGGCTGGACTGGGGAGGGGCCTGGCACCCTGGCTTTCCCGAGTTAACACCGGATTTAGAAACGCGCGTCCTTCCTCAGGCAGAAGAGTAATGGTGGGTGCTCCGTACGTACAGCCGGTCCAGTGGGGATCATGTTAAACACACTGACACCAGCACGGTGGACAGCATCTGTGAGAGCTTTATATCTTGTGTGCAAGAGACCAAGTGAGAGGGCTGGAGAAAAGTCCCCACGTGGGACACGGATGTGAGTAACGAACCGGGAGCAGGGACCAAAACGGCAGAGGCCTGAGCAGGTCTTCTGAGCTCACGGGTTTACTTCTGAGTGCAGAGGCTGCCCTGACAATGTTCTTTATCTTCCTGTGCATGTTGCCACGGCGAGGAAAAGAAAGTCAAGGCCCTCACAGGTAAAGAACCCGACAGTGTAGGACACGAAGGCCCGGGTGGGAGAAAGACCCTTGGCGCTCGACACCGATAGGGGAGCGGGGCGTTGAGGGTCCTCATTTCCTGGCCTGGGGCTGCAGTCCCTTCTCTCAGCCTGGCCCCAAATATTACAGCCTGGTCAGCAGTTGAGTGGAGCCACAGGAGTGTGTGTGTGTGTGTGTGTGTGTGTGTGCGTGCGCGCGTGTGTGTGTCTGCTGCAGGGAGTTTAGGAGGGGAGCTTGCAAGCCTGCTTCATGGCGGGGCCTTACAACATCAGGCTGCTTTGGACATCATGTATCTGGGGTTCCCTGGGCCTCGCCCAGTGGCTTTTAAAAGCCTCTGAACTGAGCTCCCTCCCCAGGCCGTTTTATGTTTTTTTGGTTAGAGTCCTGCTAAGCTGCCCAGGCTGGGCTGGAACTTGTGATCCTCCTGCCTCAGCCTCCCACGGCAAATCCCCACCCCTGCTTAGAACCTGCAGTCACTGTCACCAGTGCACACACCCTCAGTCTGCAAAGCTCTCTCTCGCTTCCCGGAACTCAGGCCTTGCCCAGCCTCCTTTAGATCCAGTCCCACCTGCTCCTTGTCCCTGCCTGCTGTAGGAGACTCAGAGCTCGGCCACTCATCTCCATTTCAGCTCCTGCCAGGCACCCAGAGGTGGGCTCCCAGGGCCCCTGCCCAGCCTTCTCCACCCCATCCACTCCCTGCCCCCAGCCCTGCATCACCCTCTGAGCTCTGCAGTTGTACAGCAGCGGCCCCCGTCCCACGTGCTGTACCTGGCTCCCCAGACTGCACACTCCCTTCCCCCTCACAAGCCCCCGCCCTGCCACTCCCCAGTCTGGAGGATGCTGAGCTCCTGCCGCAGGCTGTCTGGGAGAATCCTGCAGGACCCAAGCGCCCAGCCCTCAGGTTTTGAAGGCCCCTTTCGAGTTGCTTAGATGCTGCACAGGGGAGGCACAGGTGAGCGAACCAAAGGCCCTGCCACCCCCATTCCTACTGCTCCTGCAGGCTGGGTCCTAACTGGTGTGAGCTGTCGATGGCCATTCGTGGGCAACTCCAGGTTCCCCCTGGTCTCCTCCCCTCTCTCCATGGAGAATGGCCCATGGCCCGGCAAAGGTCAGGAGAGTCCCACTGACCTTCCAGGATGTGTCTGGCCGTCTGCACACAGCGGAGAGCCGGCGAGGAGAAGACGGCGGTGATCCTGACACCGCTGTCCAGGAGAGAGTCCCCTAGAGAACAGCAGGAGACAGCACCCTTGTGATTCGCCCCGTGACAGGTCTTTCCTCCCCGCAGCAGGCAGGGGCCTGAGAGGTTCCCAGACTTCTGCCTCGAGGGTGGCAGACCTGTGCCATGACCACCAGATGCCACGACCATGGAGATATTATGGGGCACAGGGGGACATCTGAGACCCTGGCTGAGCCAGGTGGATGCACGGAGAGTGGAGATTTCCTTCAAAAAAGACCACCGGCAGCTGATAAGGAAGGGGCCGGGTGTCCGACCGGGAGGGTCTGGACACGCAGGGGTCAGTACACGCACACACGCTCACACACACACGTGCGCAGACCCCACACTGGCCCTGCCGTCGATGGCCGCCCCCTCTGACTTTGCCCCATGGTCACGCTGGGAGCCTGAGATCAGCGGCGAAGCCAGCACCGTGTTCCCTCCTTGCGTTCAGAGATGGGCAAATGCCGTGCAGCAGGGCCTCCTGCCCGCAGGGAACTGGATGTTACATCCCCTCCCTGGAGCTCACTGCTGGGCGAGGGGTCGCACTTGGGGAATTTATAGAGTGAGGGCCAGGTGAGTTCAGTGATCTCTTCTGTTCCTGAAGTCAGCCACAGGGGGTGAGCCCCAGACACGAGACAAACGCCCCGCGATGGACGTTGCCCTAGAGCCACTGAGGGGATGTGGTCTGCGATCCTCACGTGACAGCCCTGGTGCACACAGGGTCTGAGATGTTTCCTCTCCTCTCTCCCTCCCCGCCCACCCCCCAGTCCTGGATCAAACCTCTGCACTTCAGCTCCCTGCCTGTGTGACTTTGGGTGACCTCTCTGTGCCTGGGCTTCCTCAGCAGAGTGGAGAGCGCTCACGGGGACGGCAGAGGAGAGGGGCAGGGCTCCCCAGAAAATCACGATCACTGCCCCCTCCCGCCAGGTGGCCCCATGTACCTGCGAGTCTGGCCTGGAAAGACCCACAGGATGATAAGGGCGGATCGAGCTCAAAGCCCTTTAGGCCGCCACTCCGGCTGGGCAGACAGCGGGGGAAGTTCAGGTCCGGCCTGTAGTATTTCCCTGAAGCAGAGGGGAGCATCAGACACCCCAGCACGGGACCCCCCACAAGACGAGATCCACCTCTCTCGACATCACAGCCGACTGTGCGGTCTCTCGGACATGCTCTGGGGTTGGTTTGGGCCCAGAGAGCTGGGACAGCTCTGCCACACAGGAAGCGCCCCCTCCAATGCACAGCCCCAGGGACCAAGAGCCCCCCATCCTGCAGTCTCCCCCACAGCAGAGCCTGATGGGGGCCCGGGGTCTTGAGGGCTCATTCAGGCTGATGGGCAGGAGGCCCAGGTTTGCCTCCATCCCCGAAGGGATGCTGGGTCAGCCCACCTGCCAGAAGCCGTCAGGGACAGCACATCGATGGCTGGAGGCTCCCTGTGCGCTGAGCAGACTGGGACGTAGCCCCTGGCACCTTGTGTCTGACCTTGAGCCCTGAGACCTGCTAGTCTCGGCTCCAGGCCAACACCAGCCGCCAGCTGCTGTGCAACTGGAGACAAAAGGGCTTCGTCTCTCTTAGGAGTAAAAAGGGGAAATGGGAACTGCTGCCATGGGTCACTGAGTTAAAGCTGAAAGCCCAGGACCAGCTCAGTAGGTGGCATGCATAAATCAACACTGGTGAGCTGGGCATGGTGGTGTCATCTCAGCACCTGGGAGGCTGAGGCAGGAGGATTGCAAGTTTAAACCAGGCTGGGCACCTTATTGACTTAACTATCTCAAAAAAAAAAAAAAAAAAAAGCTGGGGATGTAGCTCAGCATGTAGGTTCTGGGGTCCAATCCCCAATATCAGAAACAGAAGTGACGGCAGATTCCTTCTCCCCAGTAGCTTTCGTCTTCGCAGGGGACACCGCTGCGCCATGTACCTGTGCCTGCCAGCTTCCCTGAGTGCCTCCCCCGTGACCCGACGCCCCCGTGGTCCAGCAGCCATAGGGACACGGCCATTCTAGTGGGCGAGCCGTCGGGGTCTGGCTCCGGCTCGCCCTCACCCCACCTACCGTCAGGCGTGGAGCACTGCTGCAGCCAGCTCTTCCCGAAGACCTGGTCCACGCGCTCCCCATGGCGGATCACCAGCACGCTCCTCCTAGAGATCACGGCCTGCGGGAGGCGGGAGCCGCTTAGGGATGCACCAGACTCGCCCTCCGGGGCACGGGCAGCTGGCTTGGAGAAGGGCCACCCGCCACCGGTCACTACAGTGACGAGGACCGGGGACCGGACATCTCAGAAATGAGGGAAGGGCCGGCTCACCCGTCACCGGAAACTGCTCTCTCCCGAGGCCGCGTCTCAGCACAGGGCCTCCATCCTTACCGCATCACCGAGTGCTCCCGTCTCCCAGCTGTCTGTGCACCCACTTGCCCGCCCATCTCTACCCCATCTTTTGTCCTTTTATGGACAATCTCCCGTAGGTAAGGACCGCCCCTTATACAGAACAGCCCGGCGTAGGACCGACAGACACACCCTCTTCTGTTTCAGACCCTCTCCAGTTGACTTGTTACGTCTGATATGCCGTGTGTTCTGTACAAACAGGGGTTACCCTGCATTGTGTAGGGAACAGGGACCAGAATAGACAGTGTATGCCCAGTACAGGTGTGCTAGAGTTTGGATCCCAATTGTTTTAAAGGTCACGTGCTAAGGGCTTGTTCCCCAGCCTGGGGAGCTCCTGGGAGGGGACAGAACCTTCAGGTGGGAGGAAGTGAGGTCATTGGGGGCGTGGCCTCGAAGGGGCCAGAGGACCCCGCCCTCCCTCTCTTCCTCTCCTCCGCATCATTTTTCTCTTGTGCTTCCTGGCTGTCACCCTGATGTCCTGGCCACCACAGACTCACAGAAACCTGGCCAAACCATCCGTTGGACTCAGATCTCTAAAACCACGATCTGGCGCACACTTCTTATCTTTTAAAGTTGATTTTCTCTGGTGTTTTGTCACAGGATGACTGCCACAAGATGGAGTTTTTTGCATATTTTCCATCCACACTTGTTTGACTCGGTGGTTGCAGAAGGCGTGGACGGGAGGGCTGACTGTAGTCTATTCTATTTCTCCTCAGCGTGAGGGTGGGCTTGCCAGTGAAAAGGGCACTGAAGACTGAGACAGGCAGAGGGTGCCAGGACAGCTGCTTGCTGCAGAAGCCTTGTGTACAGGTTGGGACCCTCAGGGATAGTGTGGAGATCCACCGTCACCCTGAGGGCACCACGGGGCCAGCTGACGTCACCACACGAACCTCCCAGGCCCACACATCTGGGGCCAGATGGGAATCCCACCTCTACACAGGCCCCAGGTGCTGCCCATGAGACTGGAGCCATTGCTGTCCCTGTGGCGCAGCTCTGGGAGAAAGCTAATGGATGTGGGACCATGTGGCAGCCATGCCCCTCTCAGGAGCCACAGATCTCCTTGGAGCTGAGGGGCAAACATAGAAAGATGCTTCATGGAAAGGACCAGGACAGAGTGGACAGTGCCTGCCAATGAGGGGCTCGGGAGCTCTGGGGAGGACAGCACTTGGCCATGCCCTGGCCGAGATGGTCAGGATGAGCAGGGCAGGGTGGACTCCCAGGGGGCAGCCCAGCAGCCCAGTGTCCTTTCACCTCCTCAGCTCCAGCTTTGGCGACACAGCTCTGGGCATCCGAGGTGAGGGCCAAGGTTTGGGGCGTCTTCCTGCTGAGTAGTGTGGTGGTGAGATGTACTCCTGAACATAACCCCTGCAGCAGCCTTCACTGCTTTCTGACTGCTCCTAAGTCCTAGAGGAAAATGAAGGGCCTTTGGCATCCAGCCAGCCCCTTCCCCTGAGAGCAGATGGTCATCACCTAGCCAGGCTGCAGATCACACCAGAGTGCTCTCGCTTCTGTGGACAGTGATGGGGCGGCAGGCAGATCCCTCCCCAGGGTCCCCAGTGTTGCAAAGTAGCTGGGAATTGCTGGAAAGGAGAGGCCCAGAGAGCAGAGCAGAGAGGGTGTCCCAGCTCCCTGGTGCTCCTGGGCTCAGCACCATGGACAGCTCCTGGTGCCTCCAGAAAAGCAGACTGGACAAACGCTGGTCCAGTTGCTTGGGGAGGGACCAGGTGTTTGCAGAAGCCACGTGTCTGTGAGTGTGGAGGACGCTTTGAGTCTGCATGCGTGCACTTCCTGAGGGCTGGAGTTTTGAGTGGGGCTGGTGAACACCGTGGGTGCTTCAGATGGGGACAAGCGCCCAGCTGCGGGGCACAGCTCCAAGGGGACCCTTGCCTTGCTGTCTTCCCATCCCAAGGTGTGATTGTGTGTGGGTCACTCATCCGACAGACCGCCCCTTGAGAAGATGCACTAGCATTTCCTGTCTCCCTAAGACTGGTCCACAAGGAGCTGGCCTGGCCTGCATGTGCCCAGGCTCAGCCCGCCTGGCTGCAGTCCTGTGCCAGCAGTGCCGGTTAATCTAGAGCACCACGTGAGCCTGGGCCACTGGTAGCACTGACAGCTCTGAATGCTTCACCATCACTGCTCTGGTCTGGGGAGTCAAGGGGCCAAACCAGCTCTCTAGGTAGAAAGAGCTGTGATTGTGTCCTGGGGCACACTGGGCACCCCAAACTGGGGGTGCACAATAGCAGGGATATATCCTCCCACAGTTCTGGAGGCCAGAAAGGCACAGTCAAGGCCAGCAGGGCTGGGGACCCCACAGTGGCTCCATTAAGGTGGGAATCCAGAATGTTCTCCCAAACTCCTGTGTTAAAGGCGTAGGTGCTGATGGGCTTTGGGGAACTGATTGGATTATGAGAGCTGTGATTTAAGCAGTGGATTAATCCACTGGTGAGATCATAATTGGCACGCTCTGGGAGGCTGAGGCAGAAGGATTGTAAATTTGAACTCAGCAAATTGGTGGGTAATTTAGTGATGGAAAATAAAAATAAAAAATAAAAAAAATAAATAAATGACTCAAAATAAAAAAATAAAGGGCTGGAAACGTAGCTCAGTGCAAAGGCTCTGGGTTCAATCCCCAGTACTGGGGGGAAGGGGAGAATCTTAACTTGATGGTGTTATTGGGAGTTTGTAGAAACAAGAGGCAAGGCCTAGTTGAAAGGGGTGGGTGTCACAGGACTGTGATCTTGGGGTCTATAGCTGGTCCCAGGCCCCTTCCTGTCTGGCCCTCTCATCCTGTTTCCTGGCTGCCGTGAGGTGAGCGGTTTACTCCTCTCATCCTCTACCATGTTGTTGTTCTTCCTCAGGAAAGGCCCAGAGCCATGGGTTCGCCAGACCATGGACTGAACCTCTGAGGTCGTGAGCCAATTTGACCCTGTCCTCCTAGAACTGGAGTCTCCAAGCTATTTCGTCATGGTGGTGGCCAGCACAGGCTCTAAGGGAGACTCCATTGCCCTCCTCCAGGTGTCTCAGCCCACAGCTGCCTCACACCTCCGCATGTGGCCACCTCCTCTGTGTGTTTTTCTGGTCTCTCTTGTAAGGGCCACTGGGATGGCCTCTGAGGCCCCTCTGGACCTCTCAGGATCATCTCTCTCCAGGTCCTTAACTCCAGGGCTTCTGCGAGGATCCTTATCCTTGTCGGGACACATCCGAGGGCTGCAGGGCTCACAACTTCCTGGGTGTGGGGTCACTGTTTCAGCCACAGTTTGCCTGCTGCGCAGAGGAGGTAAAGCCAGACTGAGGGAGGGGCCCAGCTTGCAGGAAGTGCTGTGTTCCTCCATTTAAAGCACCAGTGAGTGTAGACACCAGCTGAGCTCGAGGGACTTCTGTTCCTGACTCCAGGCCTTCACCCTGGCAGGGCAGATCTGCAGAGAGTCCTGCGGGGCCAGCTCCCTGAGGTGGCGCGTTCAGCCTGCACTGTCATCTGGTGAGGCAGGAGGCAGCCAAGGAAAAGGCTGGGAAGGAAGGGAGGATGGGCTGGCCCTGGGCCTTGCTTTCTAGGCATCTGCTAACCAAGGAAATGTTTCAGAAGTAAAGGAAGGCCCACCTTGGAGTAGATTTCAGGGACTAGACCCACCTTCCGGTTAAACAGTCCAGGCCAACTGCTCAGGTCTAAGCACCATGGGAGAAGCACCCGGTGGCCCAGCTTAGCGCAGGAGGGCCCCGCGCATGCGCACGGTGCTCTTCCAAGCCCCGGGCGACGCCTGCCCTGATCACCACATCCCTGATCTCGCAGGTTTGGCCTCGGGGGCCGCGGGCGCCATGATAGCTCCTCCAAGGGCCTCACAAGGCCGAGAGCCCCACCGCCCCACGGAGGGGCCGAGTCAGCCCCTCACAAGTGGGAAACACGCCCCAGAGCAAATGCTCAGTCCTGTCCCAAAGCCTGAGGCTGGAGGCCCCCAGGGCCCTGAGCTCTTCTCCCTGGGGAGGCTCCTGTCCTCCTCCTTCACGGAAACCGCTGACCCCGCTGCAGCCTTCGGGTGTCAGGACCTGGTAACGCGGGTCTGGGCAGCTGGCACAGGGGCTCCTCCTGGGCTGCTGGTGGCGGGCAGGTGCCTGGCTCCCTAGTCAGTGCTCTTAGACCTGGCTGAAGGCCCGGTGGAGAGGACCCATGTCACCTCCCCGGCGCCCAGTGTCCATGCTCAGCTCCTGACTGGATCCCCAGTGGGTGGACCGGCTCTCAAAGACCGACCCCTGGCTGAGAGGCTAGGGCTGCAGTGGGAGTCCCACGGCCAGCAGCGGTGGGAACAGCAGACATTTATTTTCTTAGAAGTGGAGGCTGCAGGTCCAGGCCATGCTGGGAGCACAGCTGGCTCCCCCAGGGCCTTTGTCCTTGGCCAGCATGGGATCAATTCATCCCACTCACTTCCATAAAAGCCAGGTCTCTAAACGCTGTCACAGTTGGACGTGCATCGATTTTGGGGCCACAGTGTAGCCCTTCGCGGAGGGGAGATTTTGTGGTCACTGGGCTGTTTGAAAATGAGATTTACAGGCCAGGTCTGGGTGCAGCTCTGGGGCTTGGGGATGGCCGCACCATGGTGGCTGGCCCTGGCCTCGGGCAGTGACACCCTCGTGGTCCCCAAGGCCAGGACATCGGCCTTCTCCAAAGTTTCCCACATCTCCCTGCATTCCTCCACGCTCCCCTCCTTGATAACCCCCGCTATCAGACTGCACCTTGAGCAGGTGGGAAGGCGTGGGCAGTGGCCGGGAATGCTGGGACCAGAGAGCCTCTCCACACATGTGCCAGCTGCCCAAGGGCCAGCTGCAGGTGCTGGACCCAGGGGCCACTTGTAAAGAAGGCCACCTTCCAGTCAGCCAGATGCCAGACAGCCTCGGTGGACCATGTGGCCTGGCCCGCTGTCCCCCTGCACCCTGTGCTCTTGGATGTGCCAGGCTCAAGGTGCCCTTGCTGTGCCTGGGAGCCCTGCCCCTCCAGCCTGGCGTGGGCTCCTTTTCTCTCTCCCAGGTCACCTCTCTGGGCTCCATCCCTCATGCAGGAGTCTGGGCAGTGTTGTCACCTCCTGCCTGTGTGGGGTCCTAGAGCCATGACTGTGTTGTCTGCCAAGTGCAAGGTGGATCCACCCTGCCAGGGAGGACAGACCAGGTGTAGCCCCGGGGCCGTAGTCCTGCTGGGAAGCACCCCATGCCGGTCCACATCCGAGTCTGCCCTGGCAGCGGGGAGGGCTGTCCACGCACCGAGAGCCGCACACAGGCAGCCCGTTCTCCCCATCTGCACGGAAGACGCAGCTTCACTGGCTGCACCTGAGAAGCGGTGCCGTTACCTGCAGGGCCTGGACACTGCTAATGCTCCTTGGTGTTGCAGGGTGAAATTCTCCGTCCCGCCGGCCACCAGCTTCGCCGTCCTTCCTGGAGTTCAGGTCCATGGCTAGACTGAAGGTGTATGTCCTGCAGAGGAAGGAGAGGGGCCAGGGTTGTGGCCAGAGATGTCAGGTGCACTTGCTGTTGCCATGGAAACACAGCCCTGGGCCTGGGTGTGCTCGAGGATGTCTCTGCCAATAAGGTGGCCCCAGGGTGCAAGGGAGCAGCATGTGAGAAGCACCTGGGGCCGCAAAGTGAGTCACAGTTGTGTTTTATTGCTTCTAGCACCACCTGTGATGGTGAATTTCATGGTCTACCTGGCCAGGACACAGTGCCCTGGTAACTGGGCAAACGTTTGTTGTATTTGAGTCCTGGTGATGGAACCCAGGGTCTCCGCACTGAGCCACATCCCCAGCACTATTTTAAGTTTTTATTTTGAGACAGGTTCTTGCTAAGTCACTAAATCACCCAGGCTGGGTTTGAAATTGTGATCCTCCTGCCTCTGCCTCCCAGGTGCTGGGACTATAGGCGTGTACCACCATGTCCAGCTGTAATGCTGTTCCATGACTTTCGGTGAGTTGTATTTTGGACATGATTAACATTTAAGTAGGCAGGCAGAGTAGGTACCCTCTGTGATGCAGGGAGGCCTCATCCATGTCCGAGGCCCCAGTAGAAAGTAGACTGAAGTCCCTAAGGTCCAAGGGTGTCTGCGCCTGGACATCCTCAGACAACACCCAAGCAGGCCAGGTGATGGGACAGCCATCACTGGTCCAGGGGATTCGGCAAAGTGTCACAGGGCAGGCTCTCTCTCAGGAGCTCTGGGGACAGACAAGGGTGGGGGTACAGGAAGGGATGCTGGCGGGTCCCCAGCTGAGCGTATCTGGGGTGATAGGCAGGGCGGGGGGAGAGTGGAGGAGGGACATCTAACAGAGGGAAAGCGCTTTGGGCACCTTTAAAACGACCTCATCCCGCTGCCCGATGGCCACCCCCACTCTTCTAGGTCAGGGTCTCTGTGCTGAGTCTGGGTCCTGTTAGGACCTCCCCGAATTTCCACCCGTGTTTTAGCTCTGGGTTCCGGCTAAACCTAGAACCTCCGCTCCCATCCATTAGCACTCACATATTTTTGGTTTCTGACAGATATTAACAGCACAGAAAATACAAGAAGTTGAAAAAAGAGGAAAAAGTTCCCTCCTGAGCCCACATTTTTATCTTTGAAAACCAGAGCCACCTTCAGCAAAAGCAGAGGGAGGGGCAGTGCCCCGGGTAGCGGGATTGTCAGGCTGCAACACCCCGCTGGTCCCCAGGAGCTGTGGGCGACTGGGGTGCTGGAGGGTGTGTGGTGTTGGAGGAGACACCACGCTGGGCCCCCTCCCCAGGTCTGGAGAGCAGCGGGGCCCTGGGCTGGAACAGAGTGGGCTAAGGGGAGGGGCTGAGCGTTGAGGGGGATCTCGTGGGCCTGGGACCCCACCGCTGTGGGTGGGCAGTGGGGGTGGGGACCCCACACATCTCCAAGGACCATTTTGGCCTCACAGAGGAGGCTGGGCCAGGGGCAGAGTGGAGCCCAGGAGCTGCACGGGCTGAGGAGTGGGCAGGCTTCTTCTGAGAGCAGGGGCCCCTGACCTCTGCGGTGCTGGGGATGTGCCCGGCAGAGAGCATGCAGCTCCCCAGCACCTCTGAGAGAGGGGTCTTGCTAGGGCAGTGGGGAGGCAGCCCGGAGAAGGCTTTCGGAGCGAGGGAAGCAAGACAGGAATATGGGCAGTGCTTGGAAGGGGATTTGCTACAAACAGGAGCACAGAAATGGGCCGGAAGTGGAGAAAAGGCTTTGTTTTCACTGAGACAGCAGTGGGGTGAACCAGGTGGATGGAAGGGTGGGAGGCACGGGATGATGGCCCCTGGGGTGGCCCTGGTTGGGCGTTTGGACAGGGCTGTCCACCGCGGGAAGAGGAGCAGCGGGGTTGGGCTGGGAGGTGCATCAGGGCATCGGTGGTAAGAGTCTGGGGGACCTGCAGGGGATGCCCACAGCGAGGGCGGCAGCACGGCCACCCAGGGGAGAACTGGAACTCGGAGCCTGAGGTCCGTGGCCAAGCGGGCACGAGTGCCACACACATCTGCCCACCGTGTGGCCGGAGCTTGGGTGAGCACAGGTCTGTGGGCGGCCACAGCACTGCTGAGAACAACCGAGGTGCTTTGTGGCTGGGGGTTGACAGACACGAGGGCGAACTTGGAGGAAGCGTTTCCCTCAGTGTCAGGGTGATGCTACCCTCCCAGTCCTGGGGTGCAGAAAGCCCCACACCCCCTTCCTGGAAGTGGGGTCTTGGGCCCGGGCTGAGAGCATCTTCGAGGTTCCCAGCACGTTGCTCTTTAGCTCTCTACGAGTGGTCTCTTCCTCCTGCTTCGTCAGGGGGCACCTAAGCCATCAGTGCTCAACACTGGCACCGTTTGGAAATCCAACAAACAGGAAACCGGGCCAGACGTGGTGGTGCGGGGCTATAGTCCCAGCACTCAGGAGGCTGAGGCAGGAGGATTACTGTGACTTTAGGGCCGCCTGGGCTGATTGTGAGTTCAAGGCCAGGCTGAACTACATAGGGAGATCCTATCTCAAAAACAAAAAACAAGCAAGTAACAAAAAGCAACTTAAAACTGGTCTGATTGGAGGGAACATACTCTCACTGTGCAGTAAGCATCTTCTCAGTGTTTTTATTTTCCAGTCTCTTCTATTTGTTTTTCCAGATGAGCTCTGCATCATCCAGGGAATTTCTCCCTGCAGCCCCTCAGCCCACTCAGCTCAGTGCCGTCCTGTCCCTCCACCAGGCCTGGGCCAGGCATTGTCTGCACTGTGGTTTTTATTTGTTTCCTTTGCATGTGTGTCCTGAACACAGGGCCTCCCACCTGCTAGGCGGGCCCTCTACACTGAGCCACACCCCTCGCCCCTTTTACATTGAGACAAGGTTTTGCTAAATTGCCCAGGGGCCGACTTCAACTTAGCGATCCTCCTGCCTCAGCCTCCCTAGTGCTGGGATCACAGCATGCGCCGCCAACCCAGGCTTAGCCGGCTCCTTGTTGGCCTGCGTGTTGTGCAGGGGCCCAAGCTGAACAGAAGGACCTTGTTCCCACACCTCACATCATCAGATGCCGGCAGAGGATTGTGGCGGCCCTCGGCCACGATGGCCGGTACCTGTGGAAGGCTGCGAGGGAGGAGGCCTCTGTGCAGGGTCTCAGGTTCACACAGGAAGCGGCGGTTGGTTTCCTCTTCTGGAGGGGGGGCACCACGCCCTGCTTACAGCTCCCTCTGCAGACAGCAAATCCCCTTATCAACGAGCAGCAACTGAAGTTCACAGCTGGCAGCAAACCGCAGGCTTCGCAGGGCTTCGAGACGCAGCAAGGTTGGGGTGAGGCCGGCCGGCACGGTGCTGTCTCTGCTCGTCTCCGCCTGAGTCACCTGAGGCTTCACTCAGCCCACAGAAGCTGCAGGGGCTCAGTTCTGCTGAGTCCTTAGGAGGCAGCGCGTGGGCCTGGTGCACGGTGTCACAGCACCGGTGTGGGGGACGCAGCCACCGTGGCTCTTGGCCTGGGCCTCGGCCCCCGAGCAGCAGCTGTCCTGCGTGGGGCCCCCCGCTGTGCTCCCCCTGTGTGCCCTTGTCTCAACGTCCTGTTTGTGGACACAGACGGGATCAGGGCCAGGCCAGGCCCTCCTTTTCCAAACAAAGCCTGTCGCCAAGGAAGGCCTGATTGTGAGGCACCAGGGGTCGGGACTTCAGACTGTGGAATTCGTGGGGACACAGCTCAACCCACAGCACCATCCCCCTGTTATGTCCGAGCTCCTGGCGACGAACCTGATCGGTGGTTTTGGGGGTCGCTGGATGTGCTCAGGGGCAGCGCTTGGCATGATCGTCCCTGGGCCCCGGCCTCGCCTCTGCCAGGCTCTGCTGTCCACTGTCCGTCCAGCCTCCTGCATGGCACCGGATCCTACGTGGTTCCCCGCGTTCCTCCGTGGGGCTCACCTCCTGGGTGACGCAGGCTCTTCCGTGTGGGTGTCAGGCTGGGGCTGGGTCAGGCCTCTCTCTTCCTGGGGCCTGGGGCCAGGCGTCCCTCTGCCCCGGCTCGCACTGCACGGGGCCGGGGACATTTGTGGCTGGTGCCCCAGCGCTGTAGGCTTTTGTCAAACTCGCACAAGGCCGCCTGCCTGTCCCAAGCGAGCGGGCCGTGTGCCACGCCCCCACTGCTTTGCACTCTGGAGCTCGGCCTCCGGGCCCCTTCTGATGTAAAACCCTTTGAAGGAGGGTGTTTAGCAGCTTAGAGGACAGAGCCGGCTCATCCACTCGCTCGGTTGCTAGGACCTCAGGACTCCACAGCGGAGATCAGGCGCTTCCAAACAGCCCGGAGAAGCACCACAGCGTCCAGCCAGAGTTTATTTCCTTCCATTTGCTGCAAGAAATGTTGCTCCATTTGTAACATTTATTAATTCCTAAGAGAAACTTGCCTCTAGAGAGAGGCGTCCCGGAAATGCCAGGTGCGAAGGGGACGCAGTAACTGGTGGCCGGACTTGCATCCCCCGCAGGGCCTCCCGATGACCTCGGGTCCTCGTGACAATGGCTCTCCATCCTGGGCAGTGAGTGACAGGGGAGAGATGCCGGGGCCCCCAGGGAGGAACAGGTCCTCTCTCCTGGGCTCCTTAGTGGTCCTGGGCCGGTGCCACCGGCCAGCGCCTTTCTCTATGAGCATCTCAGGAGCAGCCCAGGATCCTCAGCTGCACGCTCGGTCCCTCGCTTCTCTGTCTCGGTCTGCAGGCGTCGGTGCCCAAGCAGCCCTGACATTTGTCAAAGCCATGTCCCCTTTCAGTCCCAGGGCTGGGAACGCGGAGCCCAGACCTCCCAGCAGCCAGGTGTGGGTGGACTTTGGCCCTGGTCTGGGTCTGACTTCTTTGATCTTCCTTTGATGCAATTTCCTCATTTTTCTGCTCTCTAAATTTAAAATGGATTCACTCATATTTTGAAGAAGTGATGCTTTTCCAAAAGATTTTGAACAGTGAACAGTTTCCTCTCCTTCCTGTCCCACCGGAAACTCCAGCCCCCAGCGACCCCCGAGTCACCTGCCACAGCTCTGTAGACCCTGACCCGCCGGAGGGTCTCACACACACACACACACACACACACACACAGATGCACCATGCATGTGTGTGTGCAAGCAACTTCCTTACATCTGCTATCCTCACAAATATGCAGTGCTGCACACACTGTTCTGAAAATTGTCTTTGTCATTTGTCAGTTAATCTTGGATCCTTTTGTTTCCCTTTCCTAGTGCTGGGATGAAGCTACTGAGCTACTTGCCCCTCTTGGATATTTTTTTCATAGCAGGATAGAAAGTATTTCCTCACAGTTACATTAAAGCTGCAAGTTGTTATTATGTAGATGGGTAGAAATTTATTTCACTGTTTGTTTGTTTGTTTGTTTGAGACAGGGCCACATGTGTCATTCTGGCTGGCCTTAAACTCACAGCAATGCTCCTGCCTCAGCCTCCTGAGTTTTGAATCACGGGTATGCACCACCACACCTGGCGCTCTGGCTGATTTTTTAATCGAATGCTTGCTTTTATAGGCAGTTTGAGCAGTGAGATGGGGGTGAGGCTGAATCCTGGGCCCTGCAGGAAGGTGGGCAGGTTGTTTGATCTTCCTGTACCTCGGTTTCTTCAGCTGTGGGCGGCAATAACAGTGACCAAAGGTGGGGCCCAGAGCCTAGCACAGGTCCGGGCTCAGGGTTTGAAGGGGCTGCGCACATTCGGAAGCTGCTGAAAGCTGTTTGAACTGAGCCATTCTGAATCAGGGCCTTGCGGCCGAAGTCTGGGACCGTCGCTGCCTGTCCCTACCCGTGTTTGCATCCGTGGCCCCCACAGGAAGAGAAATGGCCTCGGTGACCACTGCCTGTGGAGCTGGAGTCCAGCCGTGGGAGTGGGGCCCCTTCCTTGAGTGCTGCCCACCCACAAATGCTGCCGGCCTGCACCGCCCTCCTCCAGTGTGCGGGGTCAGCGGGAGGAGCCGGACAGGAGGGCAGCAGGCACTCTCGGCACTGTCAGCAAACACTGCTCTCTCCTCTGCTTTCTTCCTCGGAGTCTAACTGGCTTCTCGGTGGGGCCTTCGTTCTGCAGGAGAAGGAGCGCCCTGCCCAGAGCCGGACAGGGAGCGGAACGGAAAGATGAGGGCGGCTTCGCTTCTGGGCCTCCGGGCCGACTCACGTTTCTGTGACGCTGTCAGTAAGTCAGGTGGATTTCAGCTCAGTGACTGTTTTAGCTCAGTCCGGTCCAACTGTTTTGTTTTTCAGCTATGATTTCTGCCAAAATCTGGTCGTTTTCCCTGAGAGCTTCTGTGAGGCGCTGTCCGTGCCTCTTTCTTTGGCGGAGGGATAAAATGACCAAAAACGATCACTTGCTTCAGCTCTTCAGGATACCTTGCTTGGTAATTTGCTCGAAATGGGAGCCTCGCGAGTTAGCATGGATTCCCTGGCAACTTGTAAGCGGCTTCCAATGGTTACTCAAATAAAAAGGCATCAGTGTCAGTCTCTAAAGTAGCTTGGTCTGGCCGGAGACCCTCCACAGGACGGGGTGCGGGGAAGAGCGCTGCGGACGTGTGCGTGCCAGGCAATATCAGTCCGCAGAAATGGCCCGGCGTCCCTAGGTGGAGGAGGCTGCTAATACAGCTAGGTTCAGCTTAAGGATGCGTTCATTCGTGGGGGACAAAACCCTCAGGGAGGCTGAGGGGAGACCGTGCAAGGGCACCCATCAGGCAGATGCGTGGGGTCCCTTCTGGAGACTCGCGGCCCTTGTCCGCCACCCGGCTCTGAAGGACCACACAGCCATGCACACAGGCGTGTGTTTCTGCCTCTCCCTGCCTCGAGTTGTCACCGACTGTCACCCAGTTGTCTGTGTCTGTGAAACCTGCTGGGACTGCCCCCTTTCCCAAGTCCGCTAAATTCTGCTACCTGACGCCACTGCCTGGCCAGGGTCAGCACCTGCAATTCCTCAAAATAAATCCACACGTGTACATGTGTGAATATAGCATGAGCCGTGTGTTATGTCACACGTATTTCACAGGAGATGCATGTATGTGTATACATGCAGTGCTATCCAAGTATCACATTGAAATTGTTTATAATGTATGTGCACAGTATAAAAATTACTGGTTCTTCTTCAATTAAGCTTTTAAGTTTGATATCAGGATCGTGGGGCTGCCCTAACGAGTACTTAAAATGTGAAGACAATTTTGGGACTGGACAAAGGACTGGAAGAATTTTTGGACATAAGATAAAGAAAGCCCAGATCAGCACAAGCCGAGAGCTCACTGAGGGCCAGGTGTGGGCAGAAGGCTAAGGAATCCCAGCACTCTGGGAGGCTGAGGCAGGAGGATTGAACATTTGAGCCCAGCCTGGGCGATTTAGAGACTTGGTGAGCCACTGTCTCAAAATAAAAAATAAAAAAAGGATGGGGATGTAGCTTGGTGGGAAGGGCCTGGGTTCAGTCTCAAGTACTGAGAAAAAAAAGAAAGAAAGAATGGATGTTAAGGGGGAGGCTGAGAGGGCTCAGAGGGGTGAGCAGTCCTGTGCAGGAAGTGGGGAGGGGCGGATCCTACTGCGTATGGCACAGAACTGTGAAGGCGCGCGCGCGTGTGTGTGTGTGTGTGTGTGTGGACCGGAAGTTGGGAGCGAGGGAGTTGGCTAAGTAGCTGAGGGTGTCTCTGAGCCAGGCATTCAAAGCCATGGTGGGCTTCTTCTTGTTGCTTATGGGAAAAGGGGAGAGGAGACAGACTGGGGGTGCGCTGGAGACAAAGAGCAAACAGTTCTAATGGTTCTGAAAATCTTTAGCCTGGACAGATGCTAAAATTAAGAGACTCCAACTAGTGGGAACAAGGCAGCTTCAGGAGAATCTAGTTTTGGGGAAAGTAGCTCCCAGGGTTGTGTGAGCTCAGGACCCTTTGTCTCAGAGCGGCCCCAGTCCTGCCACACCTCAATGACATCTTGGCCACGCCTGCCTGGGGACCCAGTTTAACCAGCTCTGCCACCCGACCCGACAAGCTAAGTGTATTTTGTTTTAGCTGCTGAATTTGTGGGAATTTGCTTTAGTGAAACAGAAAATTACCAACGCACCTTCACACCTGACAGTTCATGCACCCAGCAAAATAATCCGTGAGCCCAGGCTCCGGACTTCTGGGGATGATTTCTGATGATCATGAGAAAGAAGTCTTTTGTAATAACTTGGGCTTCACAGATGAAGCAATCCGTGTTTCCTGAATGTTATCAGTGGACACCACGCATGCATCAAGGTATTCAGGCGGTTGCTTTGCCAGCAAGGGCCCAGTTGTTCCGGAACAGAGAGCCGGAGCCCGTGCGCAGTGCCCAGGGGCAGGGGTGGTGCTCACCTGTGCTTGACCCAAGTGTCTGCCTCACTGGCCCGCTCCGTGTAGTTCTCGGGCAGGAAGCCCCGGCAGCCCGTGCGCTGGGAGGTCCCGATGGCCCAGCCCTCGCTGGCTTCGTCCTGCTGGGTGGGGTCCACGAAGATGTAGTCGCCGGGGCTGAGCAGCAGCTCGTCCGCGTTCTGTGGCCGGTACTGGAAAAGGGCCCGCAGCGTCTGGGGAGGAGACGAGCAGTTTGGGGTCCGCTCCCGGGTTGGTGCTGGGGAGCAACAGCAGGAGCGGGGTGGGGTGTCACTTCCTGTGCTCCAGTCGCAGAGGCCACACTGGGCTTTGTCTAGTGACACAGGGGGTTATCCAGACAGCTTCACAGCAGGCCTTTTTCAGCGCTGCCAGAAACGCTCCCATTTTGCCCGGAAGTTGCTGTACACCTGCAGCTCTGCGTAAAGGCTGCTGGCTGCCCGCGGCACAAGGAAGGTGTGGAGCAGGGGCGGGGTCCTCGCCTGCCGGCCCAGTGCTCTCCCCAGCCCTCCGGGAGGGAGCCCGGCCCTCACCTGGTAGTGTACAAAGCGCATGTCTCGGGAGAACAGGGCCGCCGTCCACTGGCAGGGCTGGCCGGGGTGGATGGCTCTGGCCAGCTGCTCCAGCGTCCTCTGGTGGTGGGGGTAGAACTTGTGGGCCAGCGTCAGGTGTAGCTGCTTGGCGCAGGGCTTCACGCTGCAGTCTGGGGAGTCAGGAGAGGACAGGGTGGTCGGGCACAGGCCCGGAACACGGCACCGGCCTCCACCCACCCATGCCCTCTTTGTGGGCCTGGCTCTCCCCGGTGTCCGGGTTCCCCGGCTGCAGGACGTGCCGATGCCCGCTGAGTGTTTGAGGAGAGAGGAGAGAGGGAGGATGGTGCAGGATTGTGGCTCGGGGTCCTCAGAGCCTCTGGGGAAGCTGCTCTCCGAACCCTTGATGAAATGCATAGAGTGCAGCCTCTTCATTCTCGGGGCATGCCTGGGTCTCAGCACCCGTACCCCAAGACCAAGACTCTAGTTTGGCAGCTTTCTGTTCTGTGAGTCTTTGGAGAAAACTCACGACTATACAACACAGCAGATCTAGCCAGGCGTGGTGTTGTGCCCTTGTATTCCAAGCTCAAAGAAGAAGGCTGAGGCAGGAGGACCTCTGGGACTTTGGAGCCGGCCTGGGTGACTCAGTGAGACCCTGTCTCAGTGCCCCCTGGAATAGAAGGGAAGACCCAGGCTTTCTGTCCTCAGAGGGACACGGGAGTGGGCCACACTGGCTTCTAAGAGGACCCTGTCTCTTTTCTCCGCAGCCTGACACAGGTTGCTCTGGGATGCCAGCGTAGTGGGTGACTTGTGTACTGGCCCCGAGAGGGCCTGGGGACACCGCTGAGCCATCCCTGGCCTCTCACCACCAGGGAGGGCGAGACAGAGCCCATGTAGGGCCCAGAAATGGGCATGAGGTCAGAGCTGCTGCCCGAGACGTGGGTGGCGGCAGGGTGGGCTCAAGTGCCAGTGTGGGTCCTGGCCCCACTGCAAGGAAATGCCGCAAACCTCTGGCTTCAAAACACAGAAAAGCTTTCCCTTGCGGCTCTGCGGGCCGGAAGTACAACAGCAAGTCGTCAGCAGGGCCCCGCACCTCTGACGGCTCCGGAGGGGCTTCCTTGACCCCAGCTCTGGCGGCCCCAACACCTGGGCTACACGACATCAAGCAGGATCTGGCCATGCTGTCCCCAGCTTCCTTGCCGGCATCTCGGGTTCTGTCCTCCTCTTACGGGGACGCTGACCGTTGGGCTCAGGGCCCGTTCTCATCTGATGATGGTGTCCTAGCTAGTTATACCGGCAGCGAGGCTATTTCTATCCCAAGGTTCCTGGTGGACGTGACTTCTTAGCGGGTAGCACTGACCCCGGCACAGTGACTCTTGGCAGGTACTGCAGGCCCTGTGCCTCAGTCTCCCTGTTTTAAGGTGAGGCCAATGAGTCCCCCTGGGGAGCCTGCAGTGAGCCCGGCCTGGGCGTCAGGCAGGCCAGGGGCACCCGGCCAAAGGTCACCTGCAGCTGCTGTCCCCGGCTGCCTACCTGCCAAGACCGCCGCCTCGGTGGAGAACGCCGTGGCAAATTCCCGGAGGGTGTCTGCAGGGCCATCGCTGATGAAGAAGCCGAGGTAGCTGGCGGAGGAGTGGAGCACCAGGGGGACGGTGGCGGGGAAGGACGCCAGGACCCTGTCCCCTGCCCGCTTCAGAGCCTCGTACAGCCGTTCCACCTTCTGGTCCTCACACTGAGGGGAGAGACAGCAAGCGTCGTCTGTTCCCAAAACTGCTTGGGACAGCAGCGACCACTGCGCTGATGCCCCGGACCCTCCCTTCACTGCCAAAACTTCATCCCACCATCTGGCCACTCTGCAGGGGCTCTGGAGGCCTCTTTCCTGAGGGTCTTCACGGGGTGTGATCAGAAACACGGTGAGTGCTGCCGAGCGCCATCCAGCAGAAAGGCAGCTCGTGAAAATCCGACGCTGTGTCCTCATCCACCTGAGTCCCCAGATCTGGCACCGTGTGACTCCCGGCTTCTCCCCAGAACCAAAATGACCATGAGAGGGAAACGTTTTGAATCCACTCAAGACATTGAGGCAGCCAGGACAGTGCAGCTAAAGAAACTCAGGAAAGAGGGCTCCAGAGCTGCTGCAGGAAGGGGCCGGGATGTGGGAGGAGGGTGTGACGCAAGAGGGCTGGTCTTTAGGGGACTCATGACAATGTGTCTTTTCCTGTGACACATTTTTAAAACTCAAGCAATCCCTGTGCCTTTTGGCTCTAGCCGGTGACCTGCTCTGTCAGTGCCTGGTGTCTGGGGCTGCAAACCCGCTCCACATCTGGGGTTGGTTTTTCAGCTCTCTCAGGCAAAACTCCTTTCAAGTGCAGGGTTGGGAGTGCCTTGTCGCTCCTGTCCTTTCCCAGGTCCTGCCAGTCTGGACCTTTCCCTGGGCCCTGGGTGTTTAGCTTTGCTCAGGCAGCAGGATTCCAGCCAACTTCAGGGAATCTTGGGGAGCACTGCTCACACCCACACCCAGACAGGAGTGCAACCTTGGGTGCTGGGGTTAACCTGGTCTTGTTTTGTTTTCTGAGACGGGATCTCACTATGTAGTTCAAACTGACCTTGAACTCACCGAGATTCTCCTGCCTCAGCCTCCCCATTGCTGCAACTATAGGAGTGTGGTGCTGAGCCTGTCCCCCTAGTTTCCCAGCATATAGGAGAGGAGATGGGAGGTACAAGGGGCTGGCTGTCTGCCCCATCTCTGTGCCCCCTCATCCTGTCAGGCAGCCCCAGGGACTCCCCACTTTTCAACCCCCAAGACAACCTGTCTGACCATCTTCTACATCAAGGGCTGGTCCCCAAGGCAGGGAAAATCATTGCAACCACACACCAGCCACCCGGTCTTCAGCTGATTGGGCTCAGGTCAGGGAGTTCCCACTCTGTCTAAGGCACTGGATAAGGACAAGGAATGCATCTGCCCCCAAGGGCCTCAGGTTGGGGAAGGACGCAGAGCTGCACCTTTCTAGGATGGGAAACACCATCGGAGACATAGACAAAAAGAGGGGCAACACAAGAAACAAAACTGCCCTCTGTCTGGAGATCAGAAGACTTAGAAAGAGCAGGGATAAGTGAGTGGGGCCCTTCAGAATGAGTAGGAGTTGACCAAATGAAGGAAAGGTTAACCCACACAAAAGAAGCAGCCGACACTACAGATCAGGACCACCCCATTAAAACAAGTCAGTCGTGTCCCATCCTGGCCTACCTGCCCTGAGAAGGGGCCGCGGGCCGCTAGAATGGGGACCCTGGCCGACTCACCGTGAAGAACTCACAGAGCGTCACGTGCGGGAAGACCTCGTGGGCTCTGTTCTTGGTGCACTGCCGCTTGCTCTCTCTCCAGAACTCCTCCAGCCTCTCGAGCAGCGGCCCCGTGGGGCAGAGGAAGAGGGCATATTCCTGGGGGATGGGGTCGTCCAGGGTCGGGTCGTTGCCGTGGCAGTGAAGCCTGCAGCAGAGAGGGCCGGTCACCTGGCGCCCCGGTCCCCACACCTGTTGCGTGTGCAAACCCACAGAAGGAAGGGGAGTCGGCAGGAAGACTGACCCCTGCCCCACACACCTCGGTGGCGACGAGAACGTTTGTGGACAAAATTCACATCTCTGTCCCACGACAGACTTCGGATGTTAAAACCAAAAGCACATGCAGTGAGCCAGGAAAAGAAAAGGTAGGTGAATTTAGGTGCCTACCACATTTTCTTTCAATTCAAAATTACTTGCAAGAGAAGGAAACTGATGTATGACCCCAGATGCGAATTCACTCCATTAATAATAAATAAATAAATAGTAAATACGGGAACGAAAACAACCACGAGACATCATTTTTCTCCTTGGTTAAATTAATAAGTCTTTTTCCCCCCCAAGGAATACAAGTGCCCGGTGTGTCAAAGGTACAGCAAGACTGCAAGACGGCTGTGGGCAAGCTCGATAGAAAGCAATGAATGCTGCATCCAGAGCTCTCAAATACCCCAAACCTCAGCCCGTCGTCTGCTTCCGGGAAGGGTCCCAGGGAAAGAGTGAAAAGCGTGGGCAGGATTCACATACGAGACATTGCTTGTGTGCTTACTTACAATGGAAAGTGGGAACCTACTCATCACGTGCGCATCAGAAATGGGGGCTTTGAGGATGTCCCAGTGACAGAGACGTGCACCGCCACGCGGGGAGATGTTGGGTACACTCGGCACTTCTGCCTGAGTAAGGTAAACCCAGCGCGATCCATAACTGCGGTAAATGTTTAAGCTCTTAAATATTTATTGTAGTAAAAGACACATTGTTGTGTCCCTCTCAAAATCCTCCCCTCACTGCACACCGTCCTCCCACGTCCCGGCCCCTCCTGCAGCCGCTCTGCAGCCCTCTTTCCTGAGTGTCTTCAGCTGCGCTGTCCCGGCTGCCTCCATGTCCTGAGTGGATCCAAAATGTTTCCCTCACGGTCATTTTGACTCTGGGGAGGAGCCGGGAGGTGCCAGATCCGGGGACTCAGGTGGACGAGGACCCAGCACCGTGTTTTTATGAGCCGCCTCTCTGTGGGATGGTGCTCAGCAGTGACAGTCAACATTTTTTTTTTTAAATCATAACTGAAGACCTTCAGGAAAGAGGACTCCAGAGCTGCTGCAGGAAGGGGCCAGGAGGGTGGGACGAGTGTGCTGGGAGGGAGGGGAAGGGTTATGAGGGAGATAGATTCCTGGCAATGTGACTTTTACTGTAATAACTTTTTTTTTGGTACTGGGACTCAAACTCAGGACCTTGAGCTTGTGAGGCAGGCACAGCTCCACAGAGCAAAATCCCTGGCCCTGTAATAACTTTTTTTTTTGAAATTCAAACATTCACTGTGTATTTTGATCACATTTTGTATAAATGGAGGCAGCCACATCCCTTCACATCTTGAGTTTTGTTCTTATCCCTTCCTGGAGTTAATCTCAATGAAGAATTTGCTTTGTTTTCTCCCAGAAATTTAAGCAAAAGATCTATAGATAGCCCCATGTGTGTTTTGAAAATGGCAAGCTGTGGTTTGAGTTATTCTACAGCCTGCTGTCTCTGCTGCCAGCCACGTGTACCGACAGGGGCACTGGCAGAGGTGCGTGGGGAGGCCAGTCAGAGGCTGAGCTGGTCAGTCCTACTCCATGCAGTGCTGCACTTGGCCTCTCCCTGTTGATAGCAATTAAAATCCCAATGCTGCAGCCAAGTTGTCTGCGCATGTCTCCTTGGGCCCTTTGTACTTCCCAGGGAAATGCTGGTTCATGGGGCTATGTGAAAGCGGTGGCTGGCCATGTGTACTTGATGTTGGCAGGTGGCCCCACACCCTACCTGCCCTCCTTCCTTCCTTCCTTCCTTTCTTTCTCTCTCTCACTTGCTCTCTTTTTCACCTTCCTTCCTCTCTCCCTCCCTCCCTCCTTCCTAAGGCTTGAACCCAGGGCCTTTATACTGAGCTATATCCTCAGCTATTTTGATATCTTATTTTGAGACAGGGTCTTGCTAAGTCACTAAGTTGCCCAGGCTGGCGATCCCCAGGTCTTGCCATCCCCCTGCCTCAGCCTCCCAGAGTACTGGGATCCCAGGTGTGGGCCACCAAGCCTGGCTGTGACCTTTCTTTTTCACATGGGCACTGCTCTGTATTTAGTCAACAAACAACCTGCATTTGCTTTGACAGACCAATTTGAATTAAATCAAATTTTTTGTTGGTGCTGGGGACCAAATACAGGGCCTCACCCATGAAGCACATGCTTTACCCCCGAACCCTAACTCAGACTTTTACAAGAGGAAATCTTAGCTGAAGCTCCTCATTTCCCTCTCCTGTGCTGGGTGCACAGGCATGTGGATCCTTGTGTCTCCTTCCTGCAGGGGTCCCGCCTGCCCAGTGTCCTGGGTCCTCCCAGGTCCCGGAGCAGAGAGCCAGGCACAGGGTCCCGCTACACTCACCAGGTAGATGCCTCCTCCACGGTTTTTCTTCCAGTGGCAGCCAGTGCTTTCAGCCTGCAGAGACGTGGAGGGGGCATCAGGGAGAAGCAGGGCACTGCCAGCCTGGCCCACAAGGCTCCTGGGCTTCCACTGGGTCCTCACAGGTGAGTCCCAGCCCCCTGTGCCCCTGGCTGCCTGGCGTTGCTGTGCCAGGACATGAATTCTCTGAGCTGGGTTTAGCTGAACCTGACAAGCTTCAGGTCACCTGGGCATGCCGGTGGGGTGCTGTTGGGCCCTGCCAGGCCCGCTGCTGGCTGGTGATCCCGACAGGGATGTGGCCCCCGGAGGGGTTGGACAGGGAGGCCGTGGCGTGGAACTGCAAGACGTGCCTCTGTCCCCACGCGTGTGTGTGCATCTTGTGAACGACAGAGCGCTGGGCACAGCACAGCGTGGGCAGGGAACTCAAGTGGGCTCTGGTGGCACCGGGAGCCACAGCAAGCCTGCCCTTGCCACCAGCTGCTTCCCCTGGACCTCAGTGTACTTGTCTGCAGCAGGACAAAAAGGACGGGGCCTCAGGGGCAGTGTGCGAACCGCCCGAGGCACACAGTGGCCTCCTGCGTGTGCTTGAGTCCACTTCCTGCGCAACAGGCCCAGGGCTGTTATGAACATTATGACGACAGCAAAGCCCTGATTTGGGGGAAGAAGTAGGGCTTTGCTTCAAGGCTGCTTCCTCCAGTGTGGGCCTTTGCTTACGTCCCTGAGGAATGGAGAGTACTTCCCCAAAGGCCGGATGGCCCAGAGTTTCTTTCTGACGCGCCTCTTTCCCTCCCTACTCTCTTCCTTCCTCCCTTCAGAAAGGGGTCTCTCTGTGTTACCCAGGCGGCCCTCGTCCTTGGGCTCAAGCGATTGTCTTGCCTTGTCCTTCTGAGTGCTGGGAACACCGCCCTCCGCTTCGCCCAGCACATTTCTGTAATTTTCTGACCCTCCTGTTTCGTGACTGGGCGTTCCAGCAATGTCCAAGACAGGGCTATGTCCCCCAGGGACAGATGGCTGTCCTTGGGCAGTGTGGAAACACCGTCAGTCACTTCACTGCACGAGAATACCACAGGGCCCCACTTCCTCCAAACCCCAGAAACGGGGGCAGCCAGAGTAAATGGTTTCCAAGGTGCACGTGTATCAGGGCCTCCGTGTCGGCCGGCAGAGACTCCGGTCATCTCAGATGGAGAGTGAAACGCCTCCCTTGGAGGACTCCCTGGCCCTGCAAAGCAACCTCTTGAACAGGAAGTCGGCGCCATTAGCCCATCCACCTCTGGCCCAGCCCGTGAGCCTGACACCAGGGCCCTGGCCACCCATACTCACGCGGTGTGCGCCGGGAAGCCCAGGGCCAGGAGTGGGTCCAGCAGAGAGGGCCTGCTGTGGCCCTTGAGCTTGCTGCTGACCTTGGCGTAGAGCTGTGTCTCTCCTGCTGCTGCTGCCATCTCTTCCTCCCTGCAGTGCGCCAGGCGCTTGCAGATAAAGTGGAGCTGGGGGAGGAGGATGGGCTGAGAAGCAAAACCTCAAGGCCTTTTTGATGGTTCTGACATTGCCATATCCTGTTTGCACGAGTGCTGGTCGGCAGTGTCCCCTCTGCGGGGTGCCGGGTCTGCTGAGCCCAGCAGGGCTACATGGGGCATGGGCCCAGGACAAGGGAGCGGAAGGCAGGGTGGGCCCCCGTTTGGGGCCCAGGGCACTCACCTCAGTGACCTCGGTAGCAGTCCCCACGTCTGTAGGTGAGACATTCGACTGCCTACATCTGTTCTCCCTGCTTGCTCTAAAGCCTTTTCCTTCCTTTAGTTCTCCACTGACTTTTTTTGTTTTTGTTTTGGTACCGGAGATCCAACTTGGGACTTTACACTTGCGAGGCAGGCAGTGCAACCACTGAGCTAAATCCCCAGCTCTCCACTGACTTGTTTTTGATTTTAAAAACTTTTGAAAAGTTGAAGAATAACACGTGTGCAACTTGAGGAAATCCCATAAAGTGAGCGTGAATCTCCCTAGTCCCCCAGTGTACTTGTGGACACCCTGGCCCTGGGCCTGTGGAGACCCTTGTGGTTGTCACGACCGGGACACCCACGACAGCCTGGCCCCAGATGTCTGCAGCGAGGTGGGCACACCTTGTTCTGGGACTTTCCGGGGACCTCAGCACGCCCCCTCCTGGAGACTTCTGCCTGCCCCTGTGGCTGCACCCGCTTGGGTACTGACAGGTCCTTGAGCTCTTCACGTCTGCTTTCTTTGTGCAATAAGCATCGGCCTTTGTGGCTGCTGTGCGCGCACCGTCATGCTGTAGAGTGCTCATCAGATCCGCGTAGCACAATGCCTCCGTCCAGCTCTCCATGGCTGTGCCCTGGGGCAGGCATCACAGTTCACATTCTCAGCAGTCACGGAGCGTGCTGGTGGCTGTACATCCTCGTCCGCACTTGGGATTGACAGCCAATTAACTTTGGCCATTCTGGTGGGGCTGTGACTCCCATTTCCCTGGTGGACAGTGACTCGCAGACCTTTCACGGGCTCTCCGCTGTCTGAGTATCTCTTTGGGGAAGTGCTTGCTCATACCATCTGCTCTTTTTCCCCCCACTGGGCTGCGTGCACTTTCTTGTCCATTTGTGGGAACTCCGGTGAGTGTATTCTGCATCTTATCCCAGACATTGTTGTTTCTTGACACTGATAAACGTGGTCTCCTGTGTGTTGTTCTGGAAGCTTTATTACCATTACCATTCACATTTAGCTCTGTGATTCACCGGAATGAACTTCATGTGTGAGGCAGGGATAAAGTTTCGCTCATTTTTCCCATCGACAAGTCCATCATTGGCCCAGCAAACTGAGGTTGAGTGTCTGCTGTAAATCACGTGACCGTACACGTATAAGTCTGTTTCTGGCCCTCTCGTGTGCTTTTGTTTCGTTTGTCCATTTTTGTGCTTATTCTACATTGTAGGGTTCAACTCTCTGACTTGGGTTTTCTTCAAGATTGTCTTGGCTCTTCCAGGTCTTGTGCTTTTTCATATCCATTTAAAAATCAGGTTGTTACTGTGCCTTGGAAGAAACACGCACATATGTGGCCCGATGACTTCAACAAGGCTCCAACAAACTTTCAATAGGGGACCGGGCAATGCTCCTATAAATGGTGCTGGGAACTGCACATCAGCATGGGCTGGCCCTTAACCCTCACTTCCTAATGGGCACAGAAACTAACTCAGAATGAACTGCGGGCTTCCATGCAAAATCTAAAACTATAAGACTGCAAAAAGAAAACCTGAGAGAAAATATTTGGTGTGTTGGAGTTAGCAAACTTTTCTACGGACATAAAAAGCCCGACCCATAAGAACTCATAAATCGGAAATCAATAAACTGGGTGTCATCTGAATTGCCAACTTCTGCCCCTTGAAACACACTATAAAGAGAATCAAAGTCTGGGCAGGGCCCAGGCTGGGACAGGGCATCCCCACACACGTAACTGACCTGGGATTTGTGCCTGAAATATTACACACATACACATAAAATATATTGTTATAGTTAATAAGAACAAGTCAGTCTAAAAATGAGCAATACAACCAAACAGTTGACTAAAGAAGGTATCTAAATGGACGAGGAGACACTCGATGCTATTAGTGATTGGGGATTGAAAATACAAACTAGACAATGAGCTAAAGTTGAAAAGACTGATACATTGGCCAACCTCTCATTTTTGTGACCAAATATCTAATGCACACAACTTGCAGGAGAAGAGCTTTGCTTTGGCCCATGGTTTCACTGGGTTCAGTCCATGGTCAGCTGGCTCCATTACAGAAACCTCCTGGTGGAGGGTGTCGAGGAGTAAGGCTGCTCCTTTCTCGGAAGACAGGAAACAGAGCAAAAGAGAGAGTCTGAGAAGGGGCCACACAGTCCCCAGGTCACACCCCGTGACTCATCCAGACACACCCAGAGGTGTGCTTTGCTGATCTCCTAGGGATCTCTCAGGCCTATCAAGATGACACCCAAGATTAAACGTCACAACCCGCAACACCAAGTGCTGACGAAGTGGCAGAACAATTTAAACTGTCCTACGCTGTTGGGAAGAATGCAAGTCATTCCCTCACTTTGGAAAAACATTTTGATAGTTTTCTGTAAAGATCAGCATACACTGCCTATATGATCAATTCTACTTTTAGCTTTTTGCCAGGAACAAATAAAAATGTACATCCACACACAGAGCGCTATCTCTGAATGTCCCTTGCAGTTTCATTCTTCATAGTTTCTAAACGAAACAATACACACACTTAGTCCTAAATGAGCCACTTGGTGGGTACACAAGTCACGGAGCATTTAGCCGATGGAGCCTTCTGCACCTCTAGAAAGGGACACAATGTTCACGGAGCGATGTGGGGAGATACCGAGGAGTGTTTTGCTGAGTGACAGCAGCCAGCCAAAATATCCTCCTTACTGCCCTGTGTGACTCATTCCTGTGAACGTCCAGAAGAGATCACACTGATCCATAGCAACAGAGAGCAGAGTGGTGGTTGCCTGAGGTTAGGCTGGGGTGGGGGTGATGGGTGTGTGGGGGTCCTCCAGCCAGACTCGGTGGTAAGAGGGTGTGTGTGTGTGTGTGTGTGTGTGTGTGCGTGTGGAGTTTTTCAAGACTACCAAACTAAATGTTTAGGATGGGCACATTTGACAGTGTGCAGATTAGGCTTTAAAAACTGATATATATATTT